TTTGCCCATTAAAGCAGGGACTTCTGACATGCGTGTGCATTGGTGGAGAGGTGGGTGCCCAGGGCAGCTCCTACATCTGCCTGAGCACCAGTGGCCCTGCCCCAAGGCAGGCATCAAATGCAAGCCCAGCTCTTCCTCAACTTCCCACACCATCCTTCCATCTTCCTGCACTATGCCTGTGCCCTTGGGCTCTTGGGGAGAAGTGGGAGGTCAAGGGACAAGTCTGTTTAATGGCTACAAGAGCAGCTCCTTGTCACTCCTGTCGCCTGGCAGTATTCCCCTTGTGCTCACGCTCTCCCTGGGGCTGCCCATGACACCCAGCATGGCTCTGTCCTGTTGCAACAGAAAGGCAGGGTGAAGGCTGGCAGGACCCAGACTTCCAGGTCCTCCTGGTCCACCACGTCCTGCCTGCCCTCACTCACAAGCCACAGCTGTGGGATGCTCCCCCAGCAGCCACACTGCCTCTCTAGTGTGAGTCCTGCTGTGGTTAGTGTAAGTGCACCAGTTCCTGCCCAGATAGCATCCCTGGAGTTTTCCAGCTCGTCCAGAGTAGCTGTGGTGGCCCCTGGGGACGAGGGCTTATCCTCAGCCTGCTGAGCCCCTCTCCCACCATAGCCCACCTGGGCATGCTGGCTCCTCGCTCAGCCCTGCTTAGGCCTCAGGGCTGATTTTCTTGTCCTTGATTCTTCTGCTAGCTTCAGAGCAACTCGAGTTGCCACCATTCTGGAGCGGGGAAGGGAGGGTAGTGCAGCTCTGCTGGCACCAGGGCTGCCAGAAGGGTGAGTGCTGCTGCGTGAAGGCAGATGCTCAGCCATGGCACTGCTCAGCATTAGTGGTGCCACTGGGAGGGGGGCACAGTCTGCCAGTTCTGGGCAGGGGTGGGAAGGTTAAAAGGTAGCTGAGAAGTGGGTTGTGGGCTTCAGTTGGACTCAAGTGGCCCTGGGACATTCTTGTGAGGCTGGTGGGTCTCAGCCCAGCCAGCTGGCCCCAATGGCCCCAATCTCACTCCTGCATGCTAGGGCAGTGGCTGCAGCACACTATCTACCCAAGCAGTTGCCTTGGGTGAGTCTTGAGCTCAGCTGCACCCTCCCAACCCCAAAAAGCATCCCGTGGGTTTGGTGGCTTCCTGCCCGTGCGCCCCCATGGCTGCCCACAGCTCAGCCACTGCCCGTTCCAGGGGCAGCCCCAAACAGGGCAGGGGGATGCTGGTGGCCTCTCTGAGGGTAGAAGCAAGTGCCTGTGAGTGGCACGGTGTCCTCAGGAGCTCAGGCTGCTGGTCTGATTGCCCTTGGCTGCCCCACTGTAGGAATGTGCCAGAGGTCTGTACCTTCTTGTGATTTATTGCTATGACCGTGCCTTGAATAAAACGACTTCACCCAGCTGCTGCCTGGCGTTGTCACCCCAACCCGTCTTACCTGGCACCACTGTAGGGGGAGGCCTTGTCAATGGAGCCTGCAAAAGTATTCCATCCCCTTTTCCCACCTGTGGACTGCTTTTGACCCTGCCTGGGGATGTTCTGCAGATGCTTCAGTGGCAAGGAAACTGCTTGGACACCCCACCTTGAGACACCTTGCCACTCACCACAGCCCTCACAGAAACAAACACCAGCAAGTGGACAGAAACAGCAAAGTCACAGGAGCAGGAGAGCACCTCGCTGTATCCTATCAGATGGACTGGCACAGCTCTTGGCACCATCCCTGTACTGGGGATGGGGTGCAACCCTGGGACAGCCACGTGCATTTCCTGCACATCTGTCAGCACTCGCTCCTGGAGGGGAGTCACACTGGCAGGGCTGGCTCAGAACACCAGCAGAAGTGCTGACATTGCCTGGAGCCCCTCTGGGACCCTTCCCATTTGGAGATGAAGCAGATGGTCCCTAAGCTGAACTGTCCACCAGCAAGTCCCAGGGAAGGAGGTGAACACCATTTTAGGAGTCTTTTTCTAGATTTTGAGCAGACAGTGCTCTTTTAGTCCCCTCATCCCTCCCAAAACTCACTCTTTATACCCAAATTCCTACTTGAATGGTTTACCTCTGGTTTCAGCAGGTCTCTCCTGCTGGCTCCTCCACAGCTCCTCTGGAGTGAGCTCTGCCTAGCCACTCTGGCAGGATAGGGCTTTCCTTCAAGTGAAAAACTGGAAAATTTCAAATCCCAGTTCCACATCACACACCCCTACAGAGGCCTCCCCTGGTTTGTAATGAGTGGTAAACAGGGTTAAACGCTGGGGCAGGAGCTCTGGCTGTGAGTGAGGGCTGCAATTGCCTCTGGCTCATGGCTCTCCCGGCCCTCACGCTGGGGAAGCTCATCACGGCTAAGGAGGCTGTGTGAGCCCCATCACGCTGCACCTCCACCATGCCAGTCCTCAGAAACCCACTCCCTGATTGCAGCCTGCACACTCAGAAGTCCCTCACAGCCAGAGCCAATCAATTGCATGGAGTCTCCCACTGTGCCGGCCAGTGGTGGGCAGTGACAGGAGCATCCCCACCAGGCAGCAGCCTGGGGCAGTTTGTGGGAGCTATGGCAAACGTCCATGCTGCTGCAAGCAGCCAAAGATGAGGGTGCTGCTGGAGGCTACCATGCTGGCCCTTCCCTGCAGCACCAGGGTTGGGGTTCCTCCACCAGCCCTGAGGCTGACATCTGTGCTCCAAGGCCAGGAAGAGCTGGAAAATTTATTTTAGCAATGACCCAAAGGGAGGATTTCTTTGCATTCAGATCTCTGCTGCTCTCCTCCCCTTCACAGCCCCTCACACATTGCCCTGTGGTACAAGCCCCATCCTAAACGTTCCCCGAGGCAGAGCAGCATGGCTTTCCCAGGAGGTTCACCCTTCTTTCCTGAGCCAGGGCTGGGATTTCCAGCCTTTGAGATGCTATTACAGACCCTGAGCTGGCTTCCCCACTCTGGGCACCATTCTTCAGCATCAAGTGCCCAACTCTCCCAGGGCTGGAAACCCACCATGTCAAAGGTAGAACATGCCCCAAGAAGGAGGAGACAGGACCTCCTGCATCCTCACCAGCTGCTCCCTGGGCAAGGCTGATGGGGTGGCTCTGCAGTCCAGCTGGCGGGGTGGATGCTGCACGGAGAAGGCAGGAATTCATGTGAGGCCACGCTCTGCTGCTGTGGGCAACCAGCAGCCGGCGACCAACAGCAGGTGAGCCAATGCTATGTCAAAAAACAAAAGCAGCAGCTGAACAACAGAAAAGGGATTTTTTAGGCTGATTGCTTAAGATTCTAATTCCATTAGAGACTCTTATATTTGAAAGGCAATGACCAATCAGTAGCAGGATGTCTCCGCTAGTCCTTCGCTGCCCACCCATTCAATTACCGTGCACAAAAACTTCCAGCAGGCATTTGCTGCTGGATGCCTTCTCACATCAGTTTAGCTGCACTACACAAGTTTTCCCAGTGATCAGTATCTCCAAAGCTAGAGCCAACAAGAAACCAGTAAGCCCCTTTCTATCATCCTCCTTTTCTGGCTTGCTTGGGCCTTTTATATTAAAATAAACATAAGGCATCAAAGAGGGCTAAGACTCACTCTTGTTCTTTATTAAACAGTACAGCTGGGTATAAGAGGCACACAGACTAGTCCAGTTCTCTTGGGAGTTACACGAAATGTGGCACAAAAAAAGAGAAGTCAAGGAGCTGGGAAAGCTAGAGGGAGCAGGGATGGTTTGAGGCAGTAACACCCACACCCCACCCATCACACAGCTGCCTACTTGTCACACAGAGCCAGAAGGTGTCACATTTCCATAATGCTGAAGGCTGATGCCCCAAAACAGGGTTGCAAGGAGGATATTCCCATTCCCAAACCCTCCTGTCCCATATCATACCATCACAGCTAGTGCCTCCCTCCAGGCTTGAGTCCTCCATCCCTCACTGCTGGGTGCAAGAATGGGGAGGACTTCACCTCACTCAGCAGATGGAGAGAGCCACAGGCCAGAATACACAGCACCACACTGTAGCACTGCAGGGGCAGAACTACATGTTACCATGGGGAGAACAATGAACGTGGGAATGTTCACTACCTGATCCACAACACGTCTCAGTTGGCCTACCAAACACAGCTGGAAGGCTCTTTGCTTGCCGGAAGCCCATGGCTACCATCAGGCCTAGTGACAGGGAATCAGAGACGCATCATCCCCTCCATGGCATGGGCTTGGGAGACCTCAGCTACATGGAGCCTTCTCCTGCCCCAGAGCGGAGAACATCTGAGTATTGGAGGAACGTCTCCAGAACAGGGCCATCTCAGCCCTCAACACCAGACTCCTCCTGTCCATCCCCCTGTAACTGAAAAATTGTTCCATGTCCTTGCTCTGGGGCTAGCAATGGCTAGAAACCTGGTTCTGCCTGTTCCACAGTGACTTCTACACAAAGATGAACGCTTCCTTTAAGTGCTCAAGCTCAGCTACCCCCAGAGCCCTCAGGTACTACTTCTCAGCCATTTTCTGGGATTTCTTCTGGCAGATGCTGTCTTTTCATTCCTGTGAGAGTGAGGAACTCTGCACATGGGCACTGTGTGCAGCTGGGAAGCACTCCAGGTTCTGACAGCATCAGCAGAAAGATTCCAGCTATGCTTCCTCTGGCCAAGAGCCAGAATTTCTGGAAGCTGTTGCCATGACATGATTGCAACCCTCATTTTCATTTTAAGACATCTTTGCCTTGTATTTACTTTATTCTCCTCAACACAAAGCAGTAAACAGACACTGCTGCAGCATTTCAGATGGCTCTAAGGTTAAACCAACTGGCCAAATCAACACAAAGCCTTTCAGCTGGCAGCCCAGACCTGCCAAAAGCAGCCTCACCTTAATGTGACACCACTGCAATCATACCTAGGAAACCTGTTGAGTTATGGCCAACCTGACACAGGGAAAACTATGAATCCCATCTAGGGCAGAGGCAAGGCTGAAGAGAGCACCAGGATTAACCATCTGCTAGTGATGTGTTGGTGAAGGGAAGGGCGAAAAAGCTCCCTGCAAGTTTTGAGGACAGCCTCGTGATGTGATCAGCCCTCACCTTTGCTGCCCCTGCCCCTGGAGGAAGCCAAATCCATCACCATCACAGCTGAACCAGACACAGCAGCACAGGAGGAGCGAGCAGTGCCAGACCTGGCAAGTACAGGCATGGCAAATAGGACCTTGGGCAAATAAGCCCAAGAGGCCTATGCCAGCTGTCACCTAACTAGGGTGGGTGCTCAGAGCAGGGAAGATGAGCCGGCTAAAAACAGAAGAGGTACATGGGTGTTGGTGCTCCAACTAGCCCAAAGGAACTTGGGGCAGGGTGGCACACCTGTGCTGCGGCACGCCCAGGCTTCTCTTCAGGGACGTACCCTGCCAGCCTTTAGCAAAGGCAGAGATGTGTTGAAGCAAGGTCGAATCACTGTGAGAGCCCCAAAGCACACATGACTAGTGGAGACAGCGATGGGCTGGTGCACAGAGACAGGTGGGGAGTGGCAGAGAGTGCTCCCCGTGCTCAGGACCGCTGAGTGGTCAGGGATGGGGATGGTTGGCAAGATCTAGTCCCCTTCTGGGTGGGTGTCCCAGCCATGCTGCATGGCTTTCACCACAGCACTGTAGAGTTTGCTCCAAGCCTCCTGCACCTCTGGGCTGAAGGCAGTCCCAAGGCATTTCTCCAGCATGTACAGCAAGGACTCGCCGACAGTCTGCAAACCAAATAGGGAAGTGTCAAGCTCAGCACCAGGGGATGACATGCAGTCTCTTGTCTCACTTCACCACCTTTTTTGACTTCTCCCATTGCAGGGCACCTGCTCCTCCTCCACTAGCAGCAGCAGCCCCCCATCCCTGGCTCCTCAGAGGGGACCCAGAGCCAGTCCATGTCATCCCCTTCCCCTGCCCTATGCTAGCCCTCATCCCACACGCTGGGTGACTGGGGAGGGCAAGGCAGGGAGCAAGGGCTGACACCATACTTGCAACGCCAGAGGAGAGGGACACATCCATCCTCCATGGCTCCCAGATACAAGTAGACAGCCCCATCCCTTGGCATGGCAGTGAAGCAGCAGAGCTGAGAAACACCCTGATGCCAGGAGAGTGGGTCAGATCCCAGGCTGGATGCTTAGGGCCTGCCTTGATGCCTCTCAGGCTTCTCCACAGGGCACCGCTCCTCATATTGCTGTGAGCAACCCCATGCAGGGGCACCCACACACTGAGGGCAAGACTGGTGGGGACAAAAGGGACCCTGCTCCCTCTGAAGAGGACAAAAGCTAGCAGTATCAGGAGTGAACCATGTGTTGGTTAGAAACCTTTTCTTCAACCTGCCATTCCCTGCTGAATTATCAAGCATTTATATCCATGTTTGATGGCAGAAGAGGAGTAAGCAAGGGTTTAATAGGGAAGATACTCAGGCCTTACTGCCATGGAGGAAGAAGGGACTGAGGTTCAACAACCCCAACCCAGCACAGACACAGAGAGCTGGATGCTCCCTTTTCCAGATGTGGTGAGGTTTGCCCAGAGCATTTGATGGAGAGATCCAGGGAAATGGTTGAGCCTGAAGCCCTGTGTCACAGGAGAGAGTGCAGTGCCCCAAACCATGGTCCTCTTCAAACAGTGGAAATGCCTTGCACCCATCTGTCCTTTCTCCCCAGGCTTACTGGGGAAGGGTAAAAAATGAGGGGACCTCAAGGGTTTCCCTCATCTGGCCAATGTCACTCTGTAGGTATCAGCACCTTGGGCGGGATGCCCTGAGCCACCAGCATTCTCTCAAACCAGATGAACCCAGGAGAAGGATGGGGACAGCCAAGGGCTGCAGGCAGGGGTGCACAAACACAGCTGCAACAGAACAAGAGAGGACACCTCACCGAGAAAGACTCGATCTTCACACCAACTGCCTGATGCTTCTTGCCAAGGTTGCAGAGATACTCTTCCAGGCAGGACAAGTTCTCCAGGTGACTCACAGCAGCATCGATCACCAGCATCACCTGGTGCAGGAGCAGAAAGGCAGAATGGCATTAACAGCAAGAGGAACAGAGAGTCTGACTCTTCTACTTCACCCTTGTCAGCCTGACCCGCTCCAAGCCCAGCAGATGCCCTCTGAGCTTTCCTTTGCTCTACTGTGTTGTGTGTGTCAAATCAGTGAGGCACTGCTGGCAGCAGCACACACCACATCCTTCCATGGGACACTGCCAGAGGTGCACAGCAAGCAGCACTGCTAACCACCCTGTCCTAGAGAGGGTCAACAGCCCTATAGCAGAGCAGCTGCAGGCTAAGACCTAATGCTGATGCAGTCATTACAACTGCTAGGACCCCAGGACAACTGCATGGGAACACTGGAAGTCACTAGGACTGCAGTTTCCAACTAGGAGTTGCCAAGATGGTGCAATTGTGAATAAGACCACTCTGATTCTAAGATCAGTCAAGGTATTTGAAGAGATAGAGTGGATAGTACAGCCAGGTCTCTTGACCTGGGCTGGTAAACCACATACCACATGGTCTCCCAGGAGCATCAGGAGCCAAATGGACAACAAGACAGAGAAATTTAATGAAGGGTGAAGGGATCAGACATACAAAATTAGAAGAAGAGATAAAAGCCAGGGCATGGTTACCTTGGCAAAGCCAAGAGGTAATAGAGTTGTGCCCTGTAATTTCAACAGGGAATTTATCTACAACAAGAGCAAATAGCTATGTCAGCTCAAAGCAATAATAGAAGTAAAAATGGACTTAACTTTGCCAACAAACAGAGGCTGGAAAACAATAAAAAGCTTGCAGCTATCAGAGAGAGGAGCACAGTCCTGAAACTGCCTCTTAGGAAGAATAAAGACAGGCAAGCAAGGCACCAAACTCCTCCCTGAGGCAGCTCACTCAGGCAGGAAAAGGCTTCCAGCTTTCACAGGAGGAAATTCACTCTCCGACAAGGGCATGAAAATCAGCATGGTGCTTCTTAGCCACCACAACCCGCATCCTCAGCCCCTCCCCACTGTTGTAGGACACTTTGTTCTGGCTATAGTGCCTTCTGCTAGCATGAGTAACTCCTGCAGTTACAATCTCAGGAGGAAACTTCCCGTGCGTTCCCTGGTCAGACACCACAGTCTCAAGTCATTGCCTAAGGGCTTCTTCCTCCATGGAGGCTGTGCTGCAGCCATGCCATAGCCCCTCTCTCACCTTCCTGATGTGATCCAGGAACTCGGGGGCAGAGAGGCACTCCTGAGGGCTGGAAAACTGCTTGCAGTTGTACTGGAAAAGGGGCAACAGGTCAGGATCCAAGTCAAACAACCTGCAAAAGCAAGAGAGAAACCCTGTCTTCTTACTTTCTCAGCTTTAAATAAAGTCCTACTTACCCCAGGAACAACCCCATCAGCAGCACAACCACAGCCTCATTCTACCTCCCTTCCCACCTACTGATCCCTCCCACCTGTAAAGGATTCAAAAGGTCTGAAAAGTTTTAGTCTGGGACAATTCAGATTAGCTATAAACAAAAACCTCTCTACTTTCCTGGCCCACAACTCCAGCTCTCAGATACGTTGTCTGTGGCACCTGAGGACCAGTCCCAGCTCACTGGAGTTCCTTCCAGCCTAGCCTTTCTCCCCAGGGTCTTGGTTGTTGTCTCAACTCTTCCCATTCCCACTTCTTGATCCCCTTGAACCCAAAAGCTCACAAATCAGGGAAGGTCTCCAAGCTCCAGCAGCTTTCTGGAGCAAGGGGAGCATGCACAAAGTCAGACACTCTCCGACATCATCACCAGCTCCCATTCCTTCGCCCCTGCCCCTGCCCCATCCTCCCTGCCAATGCATGTCAGGTACATACAGACCTCAATAGCAGCCCCCAGGTAGATCTAACAGGCCACAGGGAATTCAGGCAAAACAGTCTCTCTTCTCCTCATTCTGCACATTAAACTACTGCATCCCTCTCCCCCCACACTGCTGTCACTGCTCTAGTCCTGCTCTGGGAGGATCCTACTTGTTCCGGAAGCTGCTCATCAACTCTCCAACTGTTCTTTTTAAATTACTTTCCATCGATTTTTGCCTTTTTCTCTTCACATAATTGATATATTAATCTGCTTAGCAGAGGCAAGAAGCTGGGTATCAGCCATTCCCCCGGGCACACCTCTTCCTCTGCCCTGACACTGAATCCCTCCCCGGCGGCCAGGGCTGTGCCTGGGGCTGCACAGCAGTTCCCTGATTAGGGAACGATCTGGCTGCCCCTTCCATACGCTCCCCGGAGCGGAGGGTACAAGCAACCCTTCAAACTGCAGAAGTCGCGGTTACAAGGCAGGGTGGGCAGAAACGCACAAAACCTGCCCGCCGCTTCTCTCTCACCCTCCGTCTTCGCGTAACAAAGTTCTCACTGGCATAGCGTGGGAAAGGCGGGGGAGCAGTGCGGAGCGGAGCCCAGCAGTGCCCCACGCCGCTGCCCCACGGCACCCACGGCACCCGCGGCTGGGCGGCGGAGGGGCTTCGGCCCCGGCTGCTCTCGGGAGGGGAGAGAGGCCAGGGGAAGGGAGCTGTCTGGGAGCCATCGCCAAGCATAGGGAAGCGTTTCTCTCCAAGAAGCGGATCCCGTCCATCCCTCCCGCCCGGGTCGATCCGGGGCGCCGCTGTCCGCGTCGCGCCGCCGCGCTCACCTGGTGAAGAGGACGAGGCCGTGCTGCTCGGGGCTGCCGCTCACCCTCCGCCAGCTCTCCCGGATCAGCGCTCGCTGCCCGCCCGTCAGCGGCATCCCGCTCTCCATGGCGGGGCTCTGCCTCTGGCCACCCGAGGCGAGGCGAGGCGCTGGCACCACGGGCTCCGCGGGCAGAGGGGCCGGCGAGCAGCGCCTCCCGCCCCTCGCTCGGCCGGGGGGGCCCTGCCCCCGCGCCCCCAGCGCCCCCCGCCCGCGGCCGCGCCCCGCCCGCAGCCCCTGCCCCGCCCTGCCCCGCGGCCCCTCTGCTGCACCCGCGGCTGCACCGGCTGGGGAAGGACGAGCTCATCGAGTATTTCCCATTCGGGGGAAGGAAGAAAAACGAAATTCGAAATCCCCAAACCTCCTTATCCCGGGTCCGCGGGGCAGAGCAGAAAGTTCGGCCCATTCACGGTTGACATTTCCCATCGACCTGATTTTGCGAGCGAAGCAGCATCGCAGAGCCGTGCCAGCGACGGGACCACCGAGACCCGGACACTTTCCCTCACCATTCAGCACAGCTCCTTCTGAGCGTAACTTTGCTTGGGAGGGCCTCAGCGATGCTCCACCATCCTCTTGCTTTTGGCCACTTCCACTGAGACTCTCGATGCCACACACCACCCTGCTGTTTCCTCAGGCAGATGCAGTCTAGACACTGTAAAGTACGTCTTTAATTTAAGGCTAATTAAATCAGCTGAATCAGGCAAAGCTGTTAATAACAGATCAGAAGACATATCATCTTTGTCAATTGTGTTCAGGATGCACAGATTCCCTTTATTGTTCAGACACTGCTTAATTTGACCCCAGGATGTAGGCAGCACAGAGGAAACAAAGCAAGAAAGGGCAAATGAGGTCTCAAGCTGCACAACAGAAGGCAGGAAAGTTAAGGTTTTCATAAGGATGTGAGCAATACAAAAGCACAAATATTACTGAAACCATTGCACTCTGCTCCAAAATAACAATTGTGCTGATCTTGTTACAAGTTCTGGTTCTATAATCAGACTTATTTCTTGTAATCAGGAGAGAAGACAACAGCCTCCAACACAACCCAAGAGCATATTGACTCAGTGTAGGCAGAAAGGAGTACTGAACATAATCCCTGGGAGGAGACAAGTTCAAAGGCACAATGCTACATTCTCAACCTCAGCTTTTCTCCCAGGGGCCTTTCTCCTATAGAGCTGGAGTGACAGCACTGACTGCAGGAAGCAGTGACAGCAAGAAGCCACCTGAGACAGCTCTGCAAGTGCCAGAATAAATTACCTGTTTTCTCAGGATTTTGAGACCTCACATTCTCAGTGCAGACTGTACAAGATGCTGCATAGGAATAGCTCCAAAAGCATTAGAGGAAACTGAAGAACCCTATCTGAAAGCTGGGCTATTGAAGGAAGAGTCCAACAAACCCACAAAAACATTGAATTGTCAGATAGGACTCAAGAGTCACACTGATACCACTGAGCCAGAAAACAAATGATGTCACAGGTATACTGTGTGTTAAATGCCATTGCTAGAAAAGACTTAATTAATGTCAAAGGTTCCAAGTCCTCAGAAAATGCAAATGGCTTCTGTTAAATCATGACTTCTGTGAGAAATACAGGATTTTACCTTTCATACTAACTAAGAAAACCCCCAAAAGCATACCATCTCTTTTTAAAGAAAAGTCATGAGATGCAGGACCATCTCATGGCTGGGGAGTCAGAAAATACAACCTGCCAGCCTGCAGTGCTTCCTGCTGCTGGCCACCATCTTCTGCTCCAGGACAAGTTCCCACTAAAAACAGTGTCTTAGTTGTGTGGTTGCAAAGGGAATGTTCCCACTGGGTACTGATGATTAATCACTGTGATGGCAACTGCTGAAGCTGCAAGGAGCCTGAAAGGGCAGCTGGGAGAGCAGCAGGAAATACCGGGTTAATCCGAGCAGGGCAAACACTGGCCTAGTAGTGCCAATGCAAACATTAACCTTTATCTGTCTTGCAGCTGATCAAGCACACCAGCAAAGAGCATGAAGTGTCATCTTGTGTCATCTGCACAAGGTATTCTGACATTTCAGCCAGTTGTTAACCACAGAGCTGTGGAGCTTCACCAGAGCCTGGCTGGACAGTACAGTCTGGCCCTGCTAACAAGAAAGGGTAAAAGAACAGATAGGCAGTGGTGTGCTGCTGGAAAGGAGCATGGAGAGTTCTCCCAGGCCACAGGATGCTGAGGAGCAGAGTTGAAGCATATATGTGAAGTCAGAGCAGCAAACAAGGTTTGCCTAGCAACGTTTGAATACATTTAGACCTGGCTGACAGTGGAGGAAGAGAAGCACCACAAAACCAAGTCGTTGTAGTTAAGAGTGATCAGTTCCTGAAGGTTAGTTGGGATGTAGGACACCTTTCCTCGCATCCACATAGGCACCGTATCAGCTACCCTGTCCCAGGGCAACAACAAAGTACAGGTTCAGCCATTGCTCCTGATGACAAGGGTGTCTCAGACAATAGAGGTGAAGCCATGGCGGTAAAGAGAAAATGATTAATCTTGTCCAAAGCCTCCCCCACTGCACCTTCCCTCTGTGCTGCAGATGGTGGCTGCACATTGAACACGCGCAGATGAGGCACAAGAGTCAGAACACACCAGACATTATGGCAGCAGTGAGAGTGCTCAGCATGACATACCTTCCTTCCATGAGAAATACAGGTACCCCAGCTGATGAAAGGGGCAGTGTGCTGGACCCACCTGTTGGTACCCAACCCCCATGCTGGTATGACACTCAGTCTAAGAACTCCTAATTTCTTCCCTGACTCCCCCAGCAACATCCCCTTCTGGGCAAGATACATTCAGGAGCAGTTTCCCCACCTTCCCTGACTCTCTGAACGGTGAATTCATCCCTTTGCTGCCTTTTGGCACTGGCACATGTTCCCTCCCTTAATAAAACCAGGATTTTTTAACCTGTACAGCGTAGGTCTTCCACCACAGGAAGAAGGAGCTGCAAGGAGGGACTTGATGTGGAGACAGGGAGAACTCAGGGGTAAGAAACATATGAACCACCATTCACGTGACTTGAAAGAGCAAGAGTTTGGGAGACACGGTGCTCCTCCCTATGTGCAAAGCAGCTTCTCCCTTGCAGTTTTGTGGCTGTCAGTGGAGTTCCTCTTGCTGTCACAGCACTGAGGTGCTGAGAGCACAAGTGGAGTCCAGAGAGGATTTAAAGTACAAGGAAAAACAAACAAGGAAACCTCCCTTCTTGTTCCAAATGTTTTGTGAGCCTTCAAGCATGTCGCAGCAAGAGGTTGACCACTGCAAATGTTTCCATGGTCTGAGGGTTTCCTGTGATGCTTTCCAGCTCCCTTGGCTCCATGTACCTAACCTGGCAGCTCAGCTCTTTTCTGAGCTCTTCTTGGATTTCTACAAGACCATCTCTGAAACTCTAATGAGTGAAAAACAACGAGGTCAGCAGCACAGACTGCTCCAAAATCATCTGTGGACTACTTGGAGAAAGGGGAGGGAGGTTTCTAGAGAAACTCACTGCAGTTCAAAGAGGATGATAACACTCTTTTGTGCTTTAGGAGAACACAAATTTATGTTTTTAGTTTGCAGTGAGTCTCATTATTGTAATCTACAGCCCCTTCAAGCTACAGTACCAACACTCTTAACTGCCCTTACCAAGTGTTTGCTTTACTTGTTCTCTGTCTCAGTTTACCCCCATGGAAAGAAACTTGACCAATCTCATAAAACAGTGTGACAGAACTAGGAATAAGCTCACAAATGCCAGCCCCCCAACCCTGAAGTCAGGGTTCACAGCTTCTGGAGAACAACCCTTCCTGCCCAGGCAGGCCCTATCTGCCTGCCCCAGGAACAACTGCTTTGCACGTGCTGCTGTGGCACTGTCAGTTTTCATCCCAGCTGCTGCACTAACCAACCCATATCCCCCTTTGAACTTCTGCTCATTTCCAATTCTACATCTGTGAGTCCTCATGAATAATGACACTCTGATCTAGCTGCCTCAGGCTCCCAGCTCACTTTTTATACAGACTCCTGGGTTTGGCTAATTCCCTTCTTTCCCCTTGTACCCAGTCTGAAAACCTCAGACCATGACAGCTCCTGTTTTTCCCAGACTCCCATCCCCATCCTCAGGTGGGATCAGAAGATATGCAATGTTCCCAGCAGTCTTCTCAAGCTATCCCCTCAGGCCATGGTGTGGCACAGCGCAGTAGCAAAACAAGTCACGAAATACAGTTGCATAACAAGAATCAAAGGCGATGCAGGAGGGAATAAGCTTGTCCATAAAATGATTAAGGCAAGCTGCAGAGCTTACTGGCTGCCCCCATGACTGTGGAGAGAAAAGGGCAGCACTAACAACCTTGGGTTTCTGGGCTAAGGGAAGAGGGATAAGCAGAGGGAGAAGGAGCAGTGTGTGGGAGAGGATTCAGTAGCAGAATAAAATTAGAACTTTTGACTTCAATTTGCTACTAGACATTGCCAGGTTTATCTTGAATCTCCTGTGGCCATCTAGGGAATATTTGTACAGGCAGGTGAAAACACTACAAGGATGACAGGGCATGAAACGGTGAGAGAAGCCAAAGGGGACCACACCAAGTTGTTGGACCAGGTCTGGGACTTAAGAGATGCTCAGACCTTACCCCAGTTGTTACTTACCTTGTGCTCTCCAGCGCAGTGATAATCCATCACCACCAGGCTGATCTTCCAAGAGGAACCTCTGCCTTTTGTAAATCACTCTACCAAAGTGAGTTCAAAGAGCGTATCAACCATGTCAGTCTTGACATACGAGATGAATTTGGTCATAAGACACAATTACAGGTGTGCCTGCACTCCAAGCTAGTGGGATGCAAGCACCCATGGCCCCAAAGCTCTCCAGCCTCATTAGCTTAGCATGGTGCTCTAGCTAACATGCCTGACAACATTGTGTTAGCACAGTCACCTGGCTTCTCTCCTACCTAGGAATGGTGCACATGGTCTTGGGTCTTCCTCTTATTGTGCTTATGCTTCTGGACTGGATCATCCTTCAGCTGCTGAAACATCATGGCAAAACCTTGGTGAAAGGATGCTTCACTCCCTGTGAATCCTCCTCTGTAGTTTCCCCACTGGGTTTGTCTTATTTCAGAAATGCTGCTGGTGATCTCTGAATCGTCATTGATCGTCTCCTATCTGATCTCCACTCTGTCTGTTCTCTCCCTCCTTTGTGCAATTTAAATTGACACTATTGATTAGGCCATCTCTTACAAACATTTGACCTACAGTGGTTGTCTCCAGGAACAGCATTTTTTACATGATCTATTAAAACAAAGATTTTATATTTAATTGCACCCATTCCTTCATGGCAGGGCTGTGCCAGCATTCCCACCTTTCAGCTTTGCACTCAGCCATCTGGTCTCAAAGCAAACCTCGTGTTATTCCTTCTATGTGTGAGAACCTTTCCTGCTTGAGGTCTTCTCCTCCTCACCTATCTAAGCCATTCTAGTTTTGAGTTTTTGTCAAAAATATTTCTCCAGTTCAGTGAGGAATTTTGCACCTGCAAACTCCAGAGTCAAAGAGACCTAACCATTTAATGAATATTGAGGTTCCATCTCGAGGAGAATGATTGTACCTATGTCATATGACAAAGCACCTCCCAATCCAATAGTAACTAAATAGGATGTTAAACAGCAACTGTTAGCATTAGAGACTTAAAATCATCTGGCACAGATTGAGTCCTACAAGAGGTGCCTGAGGGTATCTCCAACCTGTTTGCTGTTAATTTTATTTTTTTAATAACGCTCCAAACAGAGGTATTTCAGAAGACTTGAAGTATAAAATGTGGTAATACTCAGAAAGACCAAACAGAATGATTAAGTAAGGAAAAAACTAACTAGCCTGATCAAAACTGGCATAGAAGAAAAATAACCCAGTAAGGCGTTTATTATAAAAGTGTTTGAAGATGGGTGTACAACTTTTCAGAGTGACCCGCCAGTTCATGCCTCTCCATCTCTGCCATGTAGCAGTCTAACTCTTGATGCATCTCTTACTACCTATGTCCTGACAGTTTTCCATTAACTTTCATATTGCTCTTTATACCTTCACTTTGAGAAGCAGCTTATTTGCTTTGTCCCTCCACATGACTCTCTCGTAGCAGCCCTCAGTAACTTGCATTCTCACTTTCTGGATGCTTATCTCTTGTATTTGAAGTTAATTAATAGCTTCTTAGTCAGCTTCTTACCTTTGGCTTCTTTGGCTATTCCTGGCCTTGCCTTACACTGGGATAGTTAGTGCTTGTGTTCTTGTTGACTTTTATTTAAATATTGCTTCTCAGACTTGTTTCCAATGGGGTTTTGCCTGGAAGTTATTGAATTGTTTAAACTTACTTTCTTCAGGTGCACTGAAGCTGCACTTAGGCTGCACTTATTTGCCTGTTTTCACACAGTTCATAAATCTTAAATAAAGATCATAGAATCATGGAATTGTTAAGGTTGGAAAAGACCTCCAAGATCATGGAGTCCAACTGTTAACCATTAACTGTCCAATGCCAGGTTCACCACTAAACCATGTCCCCAGGTGCCACATCTACATGTTTTTTGAACACTTCAAGGGATGGTAATTCCACCACTTCCCTGGGCAACCTGTTCCAATGCTTGACCACTCTCTCAGTGAAGAAATTTTTCCTAATACCCAACCTAAACCTGCCCTGGTACCAGGCCATTTCCTCTTGTCCTGTCAGTTGTTACTTAAGAGAAGAGACTTTCATGTTGTTGTAGAGAGTGATAACATCTCCCTCGAGCCTCCTTTTCTCCAGGCTAAACAACACCAGCTCCCTCAGCTGCTCCTCATAAGATTGTGCTCCAGACCCTTCACCAGCTCTGTTGCCCTTCTCTGGACACACTCCAGCACCTCAATGTCTTTCTTGTAGTGAGGGACCCCAAAACTGAGTGATTCAAGGTATGACCTCACCAGCGCTGAGTACAGGGGGACAATCACTTCCCTGGTCCTGCTGGCCACACTGTTTCTAATACAAGTCAAGGTGTACCATCTTATACATGTTCACATTCTCATCTTAACCAAGTCTCCCCACTTCTCAGCTAGTTTCCTCCTCCACCTTGTAACCAAATAGTTATTGTTCCTAAAGCATTGCAAAGGATTAGCACACTGCCAGCGTGGGTCTCAGCCGATCCAACACAGATGCTTTCATGTGGGGAAGTAATCTAAACTCTCTTTCTGGTCAGTGGAGAAGCCCAGGTACTTCATAACCACCTAATCCTAAAACACATATTAAAAAAAAAAAACAGGTCAGGTGAATGAAGCCTGAAAACTACCTTTTGTCAGCAGCATGACAGCAGGATGACTGGCTTTGCATGAAATCTAGAGATAGAGTAATGACTACAAGAAGCAATCGTGACACTTGTTAGACTGCACCCATTCTGATAAAGCACAAACTTTATATTTCCAGAGCATGCATTACACGGGTCAGAGTTAGAGAGTTAGTGATGGTGCATTAGAAAACAACTCCAAAGTATACAACCAGGTTCTTGGATGTAAACCAGGCAGCAGTGGTAGGTGTAGTGAAGATTTATTTCAGCATATCAAACTGGAGAGACTGATGCTGTAACACAGTGTACAGTTTGGGAAATCATATGGGTAAACCGAAGAAAATGAGAAGGGGCATGGGAAATTGAGGGCCAGAGGAAGTAACTTGCATTGAAAGTTTCTATTTGGCTAGAATACAGAAGATTAAGAAATCAGCTTGAAGAGACAGCACAAAATCTATATTAAAACATCAGGTTGTAGAGCCTCATTCTTGTTGAGGAACACGTAACATGGCTGGAATCTAGCAGCCTAGAAATCTGGAAGGTTCAAATCAAATATAAATTGGAATCGCTCACCAGTGTACACCCATGTGAGATAACTTACCTACAGAAATAAGCCATTCTTCCTTTAGAGCAGTGAGAAGTAAAGTTTTACTTCAGATATTATCAGCATTTCCTGAACAATACTTCATTCTTTTTCCTTTCAGTCGTCTCCCTACATTCTAGCACAGCTTCTGTATCAGCAGTCCTTCCTTCCAGAACAACAGCCCTAATCAGACAATATCCAAAGACCAACTTGCACCGTGTGAAGCAATACAAGATGTCAATAGGCTTTTCAGAAGCCATTTAATAGCCTATTGCATCACTCTGTACAGGACACAGTACAGTTCCTAGTTGTCCTGGCTTTACTTTAGCAGCCCTTGGAACATGTCTAAACAGACTGGTTGGCTGTGCTCCAGCACTGATCTGGGCATCAATGGGTAGCCCCAGATAAAGCAGCTGTATTTCGGTTTTCCCCATCTAGTTCCACCCCAAGCAACCCCTTATTACACTGTACTCAAAAGCACTCTGAACACAAGAATAACTTATAGAAGAATGTTGGGTTCCTGAATTAAGTGCTTGACCTGTCAAATGAAGTGTTCACAGGTAACCTACCAGAAGCTTGATGAAAATACCCATTAAACCTGACACATTACACATACTTACAATTTAACACGTCTTTAACAGGGAGAAGTAAACCTGCTTCAACATACTTTGCTCTCATCCAAATATACCAGTTTCACTTCCTGCTGTGCTTACCAGCAATTGCTTGGATTGCAGTAAAATCTGACCTCCTTGAACTGTAGTTCAGCAACACCTGTGTGCTAAAAGCTGATGTAGATCACCACTATCCTAGATCAAACTCAGCAGTGAGTCCATTTAAAGTTCATGTTGCTACTTCAAGCATGTGAGGAAGACAGGAAAGGGCGAAAAATGCACACCAAGATGTAGACACAAAGAGAATGCTTCAAAGTAGACGTATTTATTACAAAATTTAATTCCAAATTCTACCTCACTTTCAATTATCACCTGTACAAAACACATTTATAGCTCAAGGGAACATTCTCCCATCCACACTGTATGATACAATAATTGCACTGTAGTTAGAGGACATTCAGTTCGTGGACAGATGCGCACTCGCACACACAGACAGGATTAGTAAAAAAGGTTCAGGATACAGCACAGAATTACAAAGGAACCCCTCTCACTGCTGCTACAAACTCTTGTTCAGCCAGGGGCAAGTTCTCCAAGGATGGCTCCAAACAGTGACTCTTGTAAAACACAATAACTTCACTTGGCAAAGTTTTAGGAACAATTACAAATTCAGCAGCAGTGGTATCTGTGCTAATATATCACCACCTCAGATATTATTTGTGACAATCATAGCCCTTGACATTCAAGTAAAGAGCATAAAAAAGTTTAAAAAGTGAAGCAACTCACAACCCACCACGCAACCAAGGTCTTAGTACTTTAAAGAAGACAGAGATTATTTTCAGTCCTGACTGCTTGCAGCACAGTTCCCCGCTGAAAACAGCAAGTATGCTATGGAAGTGGTGTTCTTATCCTCAGCCTTCCTTTCCCAGCAGGAAAGAGCCTTATGTTCTAACAGTCCATACACTTTTGCTTTCATGACACACTTGCCCATGTGTGGGGTCACTTGCTGTAAAGGGGTAAAAAAAAAAAAATCTTACCTACATTCCCCAGCTGGCAGAGACATAGGGCACTGCTAAGGAGATTTTCACATTGCCAGCAGGATCCTGAGAGGAGGAGACAGGGCTTGTGCACAGAGTGCCACTTGAGAGGGTAAGTCACTCAAGCAAAGTGTGGAAGGGAAGGTGCTAGGTGTGGCAGTGGAGAATTTCAGGTAAATGCCCGTGTTTCTGAGTTAAGAGTTGCTCCCTTGAAAATGATTCTCAGAGGGATTCAGGAGGAACAGGAGGGAACTGTCAAGTAAAACATTTGTTTATCTTTCCATAACAAGGTTCTGGTTTTCTTCTCAGATTACAGGTATTCCTTCACTCAGGATACTACAAGATGTCCTGTCCTACCCCTTGTTCAGGCACCCGTATGAAATGGATGCACAGCCTAAAAACTGGAGAAAGCAAAGACATGTACTTCAGGCATACTTGAAGAAGCAGAAGGAAGGAGGAAGATATAAAAAGGGAGATCCTGTCAATGCCCTTTGTGCCTCAATCAGCCTTTCCAATCAAGATGCAAAAAGAAAACCCTATACAGACAAGAGAGTGGTGTTGGCTCTAATACCCATAGGGCCGGAAACAATGGTGGTGGGCAGTGATGACACTAAGTCCTCCACCTGGAACCAAGAGCAACATTGACACAGAAATCTGAGTTCAAATCCTCCTCACAGTCACATCCCTGCATCATAGAATGAGTAGTCCAGTTCCTGGAAATAAGCCAGTCCCTCCTGCTACAATAGATATGTGCGTATTGATGTCCTGAATTGACTGTTAACAGAAACCTTTTAAGATGGATGGATTGTCTAGGATAAAGCTAGATGAGCCTAGGGGCCCTCTACCTATCCTTCAAAGACTGAGGAGTTGAAAATATTTTACACGAAAAAAGAATTTGAAGCAGGGAACGTGGCAGCCTGCAGCTTTTTGTGATTTGAATCCATGGATACAATTTGATGAAATACTTTATCAGAGATAAAAGGAGCCCTGTCTGGCAAAGTTCAAAGAGAGCAGCTGCTCCAGAGAACTGCATCTTCTGGCCTCAGAAAGCACCGTGAGCAATTTTCCACATGACTGGGGAAGAAGACTAATAAGCAGTCCTCAAAACAAAACCTGAACTCATTCTACAAGCACAGCTGGAAAAGCTGAACTGAAGCAGCCCAAATTCCATCCAGAAAGCAAAGAGTGCCCTATACCCATTGCCTCATGTTCGTACCACTCAGACATTTTAAGACAGTCAGTAAGGGAATCCCTTATGTATTTTATTGACCTCACAAAATATCAGTTACTATTATGTTCCACCTATGGCCTGACAGGTTTTAAGAAGCAATATTGAAGGTCAAATATAAAAAAAAAAAAAATCATATTTTTCTCTTGAAAGAAGACAGACGTACATACATCAATCTACACTTACTTGAAAACCCAACACTTGGAGTCCACACCGTACAGAGGAAACATCTGCTCTCTACACTTCAATATAGATCTTTCAATCTTTTTACCACCAGATTACAAAAGAAAAAAAGTTCTGCTGGAATTTGCTCCCTCTTGTGGAATAGGGAGATTTTTTTTCACTGTATGCCTCCATCCCCTTACCAGCACACAAGACCTAAGAAACAGATTGGTCTCAATGTCACTCTAATGCTTTCAGAGAATTTCTGAAACACCAATCCTAAAGAAAAATAAACCTTTGTGTGTATTGAAACAGAAGCTGGGCTTGTGCACAGGAAGGTGGGATGGGAGCATGACATTTGCCACCTTTAGCACTCAGTTACCAATCCACATCCAAAAGATGATTAGTGATAAAGGGTGGAGGGACCCTGGCCAAGCAACAGACTGGTTCATCTTCTTCAGGCAACTCCTACAAAGCTGACCCCTTCAAAACAAGTGGACAAATCAAGGTTACTAACTCAATTTTTGCATTCCCACAGATTTAATCTGATGAATTAAGAGTTTTAGAAACTGTCATTCCAAAATGCTCACGTTTCTTAGGGGTTTTTTGTTGTTAATGCTAAGGAAAAAAAACTTTGCACTTTTAATCATAGCTTTTATCAGCTCTTTTGGCAAATCTTCCCCATGAAAATGGGACTACCCTAGGGAAAGCTCAGATTCAGGACAGCAAAGTATTAATAATCTCACCAAGAGTAGAAGATGCTGAACCCCATTGCTACAAACGCAGCATTGCACTGTCTGCCTTCCACATTGCCAACAGTTAACAATTTGCAGCTGCTGTCAGATAAAGCAGGATCTGAAGAAGTTTGCAGCCTTCTCCCTCTTCCTTCTTGCCTACATAATACCACAGTGAGCCCCTGGCTCATGCAGGTAGGAGCACTTCCTGCAATAACAAGGGGAAAAGAATCATCAAATCCAGTAGCTAATGACTTCCCACCGTACGTGACCAGCAGGTGATTAACTCAAAACCTTTGGAATCAAAAGCACAGGTCCATCCCATTTGAGGTGGTATCTATAGCAGTCAGCTTCTGGAGAGATGTGACAGACCAAGCCAGAGCCTTACAACAGCAAGCAGCTGCCTTACTGAACAATGCTATGGATCTCTATTGAAGGGGAATGAAAGCAAGTCTGACTGGAATCTAGTACCCCCCACAGATCAACTATGCTAATGCAGCCCTTCTGTGTGGTAGAAAATACATCAGAATTCAAGATTTGCTAAGAGAAATAAATGCACAACTCATATTTAAAGGCAGACACACTCACCTGTAGTTTTGATGAAAGGCTGTGAAGCAGAACAAGAACTCTGAAATGAAAGGCTTGAGTTCATTGAAACATACACAAAAGAGTTTCAAATGAGTTTCTTGAGACAGGAACACAGGTGGGGTCTAAGTGTCATTCATGCTGGATGCTACAAAGTAGGAACTTGAACTGTGACAAGAAATTGAAACTGGGTGAAGAGTAGAAGTTGGAATAAAAGGAACATCTACAAAAATAGACCTAACACAGAACAAAGGCACCTGATAAACAGAATTCTGCTTCCTTTGAAGGGGTGGATTCAACATTCAATGGCTCTTGACACTTAACGGACAAAGAATTTTTGCTTGGCCTCACATTTCCTTCAATACAGTAATCTGATGTCCAGCAATCTATGAGAGAGAAGTTTTTCCATATGGAAATATAGTGAGCAGATACCTTGGCACCAGCAGTCAATTTTGCAGATGCCACATTCATTAAGATGAAGCCTTCCCCTAAAAGCACAGGTACTGGCACTGAAATAGCTGGGATCAAAAGCTGAATGACAGCTATCTGTAAAATTTCCAAGCTATCATTTCAGTCTCTAGTACACCCTCATGCTGGTCTCCACAGCATACTGGGGCTGAAAATAAATCACCTGTCATTTCCACTGTCATTTCCTTGGCAGTTTCAGACAGAACTGAAAAGAAGCTACAAAGTGCTGAGTTGGAACAGTCTGGCTCTGGAAACACGCCTGTTAGGTAACTGTTTAAATGATTAAAGGAGACCAGAAAGCAAAGCAGTATACAGGGCTAAACAACTTCCATCTCTGTGTGCAGAAGGCCTGGGAGACAGGCAAGGCACGGTGGCTCAGGAGATTTCAAGCAGACTCCTTTCAGTCAAATTCTAAAAAATCAGAGTCAGAACAAAAGAACTGCAGACAGCCAGAGCAGGGTAGAACGGAGGTCCCCCTATACTTACAGGATGCTTTCAGAAACCTCACCAAAAGAAAGGTTGTTAATCATGATAGAAGTCCTAAGGTCTCAGACATTGCCTGGCTTTCCAACTATAATGGTGCTTAGATTACAAGAAGGAAGACACACACGGGTGTCCATGCAACCACGGACAACCTCCAGCTTCTACTCCTCTGACTGCTGGAATGCCACTGCTGTTTGACTGGTATATATTGCTCAAAAGAATTGACATCTAAGCAGCCAGTTGTCCATGAATATAACCTAAGGATTCAGGACATGATTCTTTTAATTTAAGGGGACCTTCTCACCCTCTGCATCTTCCAATGCAGGCAGTGCAAATGAATGCCAAAACAACAGGGCTACCTATATCCAGAGTTCTCCAGAGAGGGCATTTTACAGTCACATGTCTTCAAAGCACCAGAATCAGCCTGACATACAGCAGATCTCCTGCTTCTCATCCACTGTTCCCAGGCTTCCCTTGTTGGCTCTAGAACTCCCAGGAGTCCATCCACCGGAGCCCTGCCATGGGGCTGCTAGGGTCGGAGGCCATAGGTCCTATCATCCCATAGGACAGAGGATGGAAGAGGTAGAAGCTGTGGAAAGAAATCAAAAGCCCATCAAGGACTGCAGTTTTCAGTTTCAAGAACTTTGCAGCAGATTAGTCCATAGAGATGTCCTATGGAATCTTTGTCTTTGGGTTGCACTAAGCTCCACTAGGGACCTTCTAATCTCTGCTGAACACAATATATACATAGCAAACAGTTTTATAACACATGGTATTTTCTCTTAGAAACCAACAGTTTTGGAGAAAAGCCAGCTGATAAAACCTACAGCAATGAAAAATTTGCCTGTATTTGAGGAATACGGCACCATCATCGGGACTAGAACCAGAAGCCACTGAATCTGGGGATTGGAGGAAAATAAGAGTGTTCACACTGCGTGCTGGGACAAAACATTCCCAGCAATGGAAAAAATGTTCTATAAAGCATTACTGGGACACAGATGCTGAATCTCATCAAAATTGAGGGTTTCAGATTGAGGTTGAGGATGTCTGACAAATTCAGGAGAGAAGAAAGATACCCAAGGCTAAGGAAAATTAACAGGCAATAAAGTTTGAGACAGCAGCTATTACACATTCATGAAAAGTTAAGCTTTTAGCACTCACCTGTACAGGATAAGCAGAACCAGTGCCAGGAACCCCCCTCCATATACTTTTCTAGCTGTAGTGCTGGGTGACAAGAACCCAGCACAAAACTTCAGTAGTGAGTCCCAGGTGATTCCTAGAAGGAAGAGGTAGGAGTCAGGGGAAGAACAGAGCTGCTGTGTTCACAGACTGGGCTGATGAAGCTCTGTTAACACCAGAAGATCATTCAATTTTTAAATTAATTTATCTTGGTAACCTTCAAAACTACTGAGATTGTTTTGTATCAGCAGAAGGTTCTTTTTTTCCCTACCTTTACATTTGAATAAATGCAAATGAGATCTGAGCCTAAGATCCTAAGTTGGTGGGAAAATTACCAAGACCAAATTATAAATATACATGACAGAAAAGTCGGGAAAGCAAACAAAGGGAAGCAATTTGTACAAAAGCATATATAAACAATGAAACAGCAGAGAATGGGAATCCCGTCTCTAAATTTAAATGCCCTAAACACTAGACATGACTGCCTTTTCAGGGTAGTAAAAAAACAAACAAACAAACAAACAATCTGGCACTGCAAGGTGCTTTATGAAAAACATTTTGAATTAGTCAATGTTTTCAAGCACTTTGCACAAGCAAGCAGAAAGTCTAAATAAAAATAATAAACTTTTTAATCTGCAAACATTAAATTTAATGGAATTTCACCTGTTTTCCCACCTTGTCTTCTCCTAGACTCTAGTATTTACCTGTCAACATGCTGGAAAAAAGCATGGCAGGAAAGTAGTGGTGAAAGTAGAGAACTCGTCCCATCATAAAAAAAGGGAGGTAATGAAGAAGCCAACCCAGTGTGATCTGCCCTCCACCACGTAGCACGACTCTGGACAGTTCTGGAACACAAGTATACAGACCAGAGAAAAACTCAGCTACAGTTCCTATCTGCAAACCTTAATACACCAAATAAACTCAACTGAAGATCTTTGCAGGAAGTCATGTATTGGTCTGAAATTGCTTCAAGCCTCTGCAACATCCTGTCTGTATTCTTTACAAACATACTGTAAGGTAAACATACGCAGGTAATGGCCAGTCTCTTCGCGAACGAAGAACCGGGGAAGGTCTTTCCACCTTCCAGCCTGCGCATTGGATTTTTTAGGTGAGACACAGTGTGCGCGGAACTGAGCCCACCCTTTAATCNTGAGGTCCTCAGGACGTAGATGGATTGCCTTACAGGGCTAGCGAGCTCCATCTGCCCGGGGAGTGTCCTAACCGGGAATCGAACCCAGATCTCAGCGTTGACAACGCTGTGGTTTAGCCACTGCACCACCAGGGGCACTCACATACGCAGGTATTCTTCCCAAGAATACTAAGGCAATGAAAGGATTAAAATAAAGGTTTATTTCAGATGCAAGGACCACTTTTTTTATAATGCAGCATGCATTGGATCTTCAAGGGCAAAAGGTGAGTTCCCACCCCCTCAGGGCCACCTTTATCCTCTCTGTTTCTGCACCGCCTTCCCAAGGAGGCTTTGTGCATGTCTGCAAACATGTTATCTCTCTGCATACCACAGAGAGAGATATCTTGCTCACAGCTTTTCCCTGTAACTTTCTCTGAAATGCAGAAGGAAGGAAAAAAAAAAGCCCCCTAACCCATTTGAAAAGGCATTTTGCAGTTTTTCTAAGCAAAACAAGTTCTAGCTTTCCATTACAAACTCTTGTGCAATTGCACCTATCCCTACACATACAAACACTCCTCAGGAGAACAGTTATCAAAGAAGATGCAGAGACATAAGTCTCAAGGGACTGGCAGGAGGTTGATTATCCTGCATGTTAAGACCAAACATGCAGTTTCTCAGGGCATACATCAGACTAATCAGGTCATTGCAATTACTGATGTTTTTTCTTCTGTCTGCAATGAGACTATGAGCCATCCAGATTATTACTTTGCCTGGAAAGAAATGTTGCCTAGCTTTCAGAGCCTGGGGAAGAGAGTGAGAGGTTTAGTGTATGTATACAGCTTAGCCAATAATTTATTCGATAATTGAGTAGTTTCCCATCACGTTTTAGAATTCACTTCCCACAAGGAAATCTACAAAATGAAGCAACCGTTGAAGTAAGCTGGAATGGTCAAAATATGACTTATAAGGGTTTGTGAATAGCTCTATCTCTACAACGATCCAAAAAAGGACCTTTGTATCTCTTGCATTTGTCATTTGCTTTGCAAAAAGATCGGGAACATTTCTCATTTTAAAACGCTGTGCATACTACAGTAATACAGAGAACATGCAAACCTTCATAGCTGGAGATTGATCCAACTATCCTTATCCCTTACAGCATTTCTGTTGAAGATCTGTACTGTTCACTATTAAGCTATTTAACATAGGAAGATCCCAATCTTTTCCTTGCGGACCCTGCTCAATAATTCATGCTCAGTGGTTTCCCACCTTGGACATACAAAGTCCTGCCATCCATACACTTTTCATGTGCCTGCAAAAGGCATTTATGAAAAGGAAGACTGACCTCACCTTTGAGTTCAGATGTCAGTTGGACACCTCTCTTCAGTGCCACTGCAGTGCAAATTGATATCAGAAAATATAACCCCATAGTGACCAGATTTAGCCACCAAATCACCTACACAGGAAAGAAAAGAAAGATTTGCGACTTTATGGTGGACACATGCGTGTGAGAGGAAATGAAAAGGTACATGCAAACATTAAGAGTACAATAAGAGAGGCAGTCCAAGAGGAGGAGAAGGAAGAGAAACACTGTCGCTAGAAGTAGCAAGACTAAGCTAAAATTTGTTACAGGCATTGACTTGGAACCTCCCACTCCAACTTACTGGGTTTCCCAGCAAATAGACACGATAATCAGTCTCATTGACACCAGAAAAACGCAAGCCCTGAGGAAAGAGAGCAGAAGGGAGTAAAATAAATATTCATCAGTCCAATTGCATCTTCAATGCAATTAAGAGGTGCTATGCTTCTAGAGACACTGCAAAAGCACTTGAAAAAAGAAAAGAAGGTGGACTAATCAATATACCTGGTAATTGATGGGCCAGTGCCAAGGTTTGGATGTAACTTCATTGTCCTTTGGTTTGAGGCCGCTGTTTCCCTACAGATAAGTCAACATAAAATTTACATGAGCAGGCAGTTATGCTGCAACACCTGTCCAGAAATGTCTGTGCACACAAATATACATCAACACTCTTCCTGAGTGAAAGCTCTTTTCTGACTTACATAAACACATCATCTTCCACAGAAGGGAATGCAATGAAGAAAATTAATGTTTTACTATTATTGTGCAAGTAAAAATGTTCTTTATGCACAATAAGAGGCAGTATTCTCTCATTTCTCCAGCTTTTCTGTCACTGGGGACACATGTTGCACCAGCAAGACCTTTATTCATTAAGAGACTACTGTGACAGGTTTCCTTCCACTATGAAAAAAACAAGCTTCAGAAAGATTATTTCCATGGAAACTCATGCAGGTGCTTCCTTACCTGAGACACATTATCACTGATTGCCATGGAAACACTTTACAATAACACTTTACAAGCATTAACAATAATTTCCTTGACTACTTTCCTTCTCTTAAAAATCTGAGAAGACCTTTACAAACAATAGCAAAGAAAACATTGGACTCCTTTCTCAGAATAGTAACTTCTCATTCTTCCGATGAAGGATTAAGGAGCTGGAAGCAGAAGGGCTGTGGCCAAGAGCACAGAGAACAATCATAGAGAAAAGACTGCAAGAGCAGTTCACCTTGAAAATATTGAATCTGCTCTTTTTTTTTTTTTAATATTCAGAGATAAAGAAGAAATCAGAAATCACAGCACCTTGATGAACTTTAAAAAAAAAAATCAATCCAAACACTTACTGTTCTCCTAAATGTCTGTTTAGCTTATTTTTCTGACTTTGACCACAGTAACATCCTCCTCCCTAAAAAATACTATTTTAAATTTAAAACCTTCCAGGAAGGTAAGTAAAGTATGACATAACTAGGCTGTAGCCAGATCACACCAACAGCAGAGCCAGGCATTAAGTCCAAGGCTTCCAAACTTGGACTTGGAAGAATTAGCTCCATTCCTTTTTCTAAGTATAAATTCAAGTAGGTTGCTCAGGCATGTAAATTCTGCCCTAGCTTGCAACCATCACCCAGATCTCTCAGAAAGTGCTATTTCTTTTTGATGCCAGAGAGAGGAGAAAGAAAACGATAACCTAGAATTAATGATATCCTACCCGGATCATAACCATGTGGGATTCTAGCAGAATTTCTGCAAAAGAAGGCTTCAAAACATCCAGGCTGATGTTGGGCACTGCAGGAAAAAGTGAGAAAAATAGATTAGACGTCTGTGTGGTTTACATTTATTTGCATCTTTCATAATAAACTAAATTCTCTCCTGCAACAAATCTGCTTCCAGGATCTCTTTTAATTCTCTGTGAAATTCATTCATATTCTAAACACAGAGGCTTGCAAGCAAAAGTATCCCCCAGTGAATTTTACAACTGATGTAGTCCTAGATTTCCTCCTTTACTTCCAGGAGCAAGAAAAAGAGATAGAACTCCATGAAATAAACAGATTTGTATTTCTGGCTGAAATTAGAGACATACTCTTCATAGGCTGCTGTTTATCTGTAAATGAGCCATACGTGTGGGAATGCATTACAACAGAACAAGAAATTCTACCAAGTCAAGAGCCCAGGATTTCTCTCCTTTGGTTTGCATACAGTTGCTCTCAAAGGATGAAGAACAGTAAGTTTTTTAATAACTCAGAACTCAGCCCAAGTCACCTGCAATTCATGGGATGAAAACTGTGTTGAATAACTTGGGCCAGATGAGGCTGTGAAACTCCTGGATGAAGCAGCAAGGCCCATCTGTCATCACTGGCAACCTCATATCTCTGTCACACACTATTCATTTCTTGATGGTACTGCAAACTGATTATTTAGCATGCCCCCAGTATGTGAGAGAAAAAAATACACCAGAACAGGGTGGATCCTAGACTTTTTAAAAAAATCATCGAAATACATATGACATACATCAATAACAACAATTCCCAATTAAACAAACAATGTTAAAAACTGCAGTGCTGCCCATGAAGATCTCAAAATCCTTAAAGAAGTCTATATACTTCCACTACATTTCAAGCATTATCACCAGCTTGCAGTACAAACAGTGAAACAGAAAAAGGTTCTGCAACTCTGCAATGGCCCAAGTTCAGCAAGTCTGCACTTAAGCTGGGAAAGAACACACAAATTCCAAATGCTGAATGCCAGTTATTGCCATCTGATAGCTCATCCCTTTCTTTAACAGCAAGCCAAGATGCACTCTCAAACTAAAAGGAAATAAATTACTTACACTTAGGGTTAATATGATCTTCAAAGTTCCAGAGGGAATTGGGAGAGTCCTTCAGGTACGGTGTGCAGGTGACTTCCACTTGTTCCCAACCCCTGAGGAACAGCAGAACAGTTCACCACCACCCCACAAGAACACTCAATATTTCCAGTTCATGTCTGATTTTTCCCCATTTAGCTTTATACTTCTCCACAACACCTACCATATATCGTATAACCTCAGCAATTGGATTCTTGCATGCTCTAAGAACCATGTAGAAATCAAAGCAGATTTGAAAGGCAGCCAACATCAAAATTCTACTGAATTTTACTGAACCATATTTCATCCATAGGTGGGATTTTTGAAAATGATGCACATTCATAACTAGCAACTACTTCAGTTCAACCTTTATAGTCCCTCCAGAAGAAAATCACCATCATTAATTTAAATGAATCCATGCCTACAACAATTGTATTACAGAAACAAAAGAATCACCTTAGGGGATACCAGTGACTGTTCTTTGTCTGTCACTCTATTTCTAGCAGGTCACATCAAAAACTTTGGGAGCAAGTGCATCAAACCCTGCAGTAATGTGACAGATTACCAAGGAATTTTCTATCATCACCACTAATTAATTAACCCATTAATTAATTATCTTACTTGGAAGAACAGTGATTACTACCCTTTAAATGAAAAAGAAATCTAAAAATCCAGTATACTCTAGCCACCTCTATTTGCAGTTAACAAGCATTTTTTCCCCTTAGCTCTTAGTATTGTCAATATTTTGTGGCAGTAACTTCCACTCACAAAGTAAGTTTTTGTTAGTGGGAAAAAAACCCAAATCACAACCTTTTTTGAATGCTCTTGACAGAGACTGACTTTTTTTTTCCTTTTAACCAAAGACATTATTTACATATGAGCTCACTTTTATGGTGAAGTCTAAATGGCACTTGCATTCCTGACCAGGCAGTCACCATAGGTACCTGCCTGCACTCCCTGTGATTCAGCATCCACAGGATTCCTTATAATCCAGGTTTACCATAACACAGTGAAGGGAAATCTAAGATAGCAGAAACAGAGGTAGCTCTGGAAACAGTAGCAACATCACTATACAGACTGCTGCTTCCAGATCCATGTTAGCATCCCCCCTAGTACAGCTCTGCACATATGGCAGCTTGCTTGCCTTAGTCTCGGTGTCTCTGCATATGTGTCATTTTAATGATGAAGATATATAATTCTAGGACATAAAAAATCCCGACCCCTGCTAAAAGCAGCTTGTAACCACTGCCCTTGCTTCAGATGTTGCATGCAAAAATGGCATAAGGTCTTCCAACCACAAGACAAATTAATACCAATAAAATTTTGATGATTATGGTATGGAACAGCATAAACTGCCCCAGTTTCTAGTGATTTCTGTGAACCCTAAGGATAAAATGGGACTTAAAGAACACGTCTGTCATCCCCTCCTGGCTATGTCCATGCCACTCCTGGATCTCTTAGTAAGGCATATTATTTTTCATAGCTGTATATCTTCACTGTAAAAGACTGCATAACCCTAACCCAGATCTTCCCCTCTGGTTATATTTTTAGTACGTGCTAGTTCCATTTTTATTCTTTTTAAAAAAGGGAGGAAATGTGGTTATTACTTAGTTTCAAAGCACCACTGAGTAAAGGAACATGTCACTCCAAGGCCTTGCAGGGGTGGAGGGGGATTACAAACTATTTACCATTTTGGCAGAGTCTTTCCAGAAGAGCCCAATATACACCCTGTGGCCACATGGATTAACCGGATCTGACTCCGTAGGACTTTGATGAGCTTCCCAGTCTTTCTGCCCACCACTTCAATCCGCCAGAAATCATTGGAGTCTCCTGTTCCATTCTATCATGCAAACATAGCATTGCAGAAAAAAAAAATCACAAAAACAGAAAAAAAGAAAAACAAACAAACAAAAACCCAAACCAAAAACAAACAACCCCCACCCCCAAACTAGAAAAGCTACAGAATTGAAGCACAGCAAACAGGAAATTCAGAAACTGGTGGCAAAGCTAAATAAACTAGCCCAGACTACTCTCACTGACACTTCACAGAAGAGATTTCCCATCAGGAGTTCATTTTAGACATGAGCAAGCATTCACAAATACATCTTTATCTTGCCAACTTGAATTCTTTTTCTTCCAATTCATACTTGACTGTGGCTCAGAATGACAGCACAAACAGGGGTAACTTGGCTGCTTCATAAAAGGGGTTTAAGCAACAGATCCTTGTGTTTGGAAATTCAGCCTGCAAAGCAGATTCCATTTTCATGATTCAAAATTCTGTCATCATTCTTTCAAAAAGGCACTTGCCTATGTCACAAGGTCAAATACATAAAATAATACTTGCCAGAGCAACTTCAAGGTTGCTCAGTTTGTCACTTCTGGAGTTGAATGCTGCCAAAGCTAGACTGGCAGTAAAAGTTTAAATTATTTTTTTTATCTGTGTTCAGATTAAATAGACCTTAAATATGAGATAAGCCATTTCACACTAAATCAGTTTTTCCTTCAGGATGGCAGATGCCCACCTACCACCTTGGCTAACAAACTAAAAAAAGCAACAATAAATCCCCTTGGCATGATATGAACTCTCCCCAAAAGAAGGAGCTTTTCTTCTGTCTTGCCTTCACTTACTATTCCATAGCCAGTGACCTGAAAATGCTTTCTTGTCAGGGGAGCTTCATGTTGGTGACTGTGTAGATTTCTAGAAGTTCTGAAATGAAATTAGAAGTCAAACTTTGAACCTTGTCAATTTGTAATAAGAACATTGGTTTGAAGTCATTCAGAGATCTGCCAGTGTTCTAACCACTGAATTCCAGCTGAGGGCAGGCAGGATTCAGCCTAAACAGAATGGGGGATACTGATCGAATCTGTCGCTTCCCACGAAGTGACTCTAAGCTTATGCCATGCTAGGCAGTGATGGAAAAGGACGACAGCATGAATAAATACAACCCTCAAGCTACAATCTATCACCTCCAAGTGGAGAAGACATTGGTGGGCTTTTGTTTTGCTGTGGGCTTTTTTTTTTTCTTTAACAGTAAAGGTGGGACAGACTTGCCCTTGTAAGAAGAAAAGCAAGATCCTGACCTTCTGAGATCATCAGTTTTGCTTTTGAGGAGAAAGGTTGTACCATTTAGGGGGAATCAGCGGCCACCACTAGCACCCAGCACGGTGCAGGGAGCCAGCCTCCCGCCTTGGCAGGGACTGGTGACTGAGCAGCCAGAGGAACCCGGCCATACCCGGTCAGTCCGTAACACCAGCGCCACCTGCTGCACCTCCTCCGCAGCACCGCTGCTTCACCTCCTGCCCTGGAGTCACCTCACCGCGACTCAACCAGTTTTGTATAATCAATTTTTATCATGCTCGTTATCATATTTTTTTAATGTAAACCCCCAAATTCAAAGGATTAAAAAAACCCAGTCTTATAATAATTTTGGAAACCTAAGCAATTATTTGTGCAGATGCCATACTGAATACAACACGACATGACTTCCTGACTCACAAGTTTTGAGGTTCTGTTAAAAAAATCAAAGCTGTGAAAGCATAAGGCATTTCGGCACAGTGGTATTAGACTAGACAAAAACCAAATACCAAGTCACTAGGGTGACTTGGTTCCTCTTAGGTATTCCCTGCAGAGAGGGAAGGCACCAGCTGACATATTTTCATTCAGTGTTTCACTGCTGTGATCTCAGTGCTGTTCAAAACTTCAGCAGGTGGATGCTGCCTATGCATGTAGGAACAGGACACTTGCAGTACACCGAAAAAAACCCCTCACTCTTTATTTACCTAGAAAACTCAAAGGAGTGGGGACAAGCCCACATCCAATGAGGGTTTCAGAATTGCTTCTCTGCAAAAGAGTTACCCCTGAGAATTGCACCTCACATAGCTGAACAAATCTCTCTGCTGCTTAGATAGGTATTTCTAATAAAGTTGTGGTGCTCTGTTAAAAGTTTCCTATTTAACAGACACCATTCAAACATAAATCATAGAAAAAAACCTCTACAAATCTCACAATGGAAATGCAGATATACAGATACCTCTGTCACACAGCCCGCTTGTGCTGGCCTAACCACATTGTCTCCAGCAGGACAAATCTCCCACCAATTCCATTCAATCATGTAATCTCTTTGAATCCCAGAAATCGTCCTTACTCTTTATGTTCCAGACGTATAATATCTCCATGCCTCACAAACTCCACAGGGCTCAGGGGGTCTGACAGATCTGCTGAAGGAAAGCAAACTAGTTATATCAAGGTACTGACAAAACATATCAGGGTCTTAGAAAGTTTCTTGTTAATGCTCATGGCTGAAGCAGACAATACAAGCAAACAACTTTGTGTCAATACACAAGCAGCAGGAAGAAAAAAGGAAACTGACAGACAAAGCATGCCTTAGCTACACTAGGTAATATTCTCAAACAGATGTATCTGCAAACCGTAGATTGTCACCTTCAGTACTCTTATCTTGTCCCAAGCAGTCATTCACAAAAATCTGTTAAATGCAGTGTACCAGAAGGTACCAGGACCCAACCTCCTCAGGACTCTCAGCCACAGTAAGATTGCAAAAAATACTGAGTTCAGACTAATTTCCTCTCTGCTGTTATTTGTGGCCCTATCCAGCTGAAAAATTGTCAATGCAACCTTCAGCTGAGAAAAGCCTATTTATTTCAACTGTACAATGTAGAGAAGAGCCAAAAACACAGTAGACACACGCAACATAAATCAAGATGGAGCCAGCTTCCCCCTGTTCTTCCTCCTTTCCCTCTCACATCCATGAAGGATACTCTGTCCTGGAGGGAACTCAGAATATTTATGTGAAAACTGAAGCAGTAGTTATAAAAGGCATTTTACTGGTATTTGTTACCTGCATCTGAATCATGTTTCTTTATAATCCACAGGTTATTCAAATCTTTATGTAAGTAGGCAGTGACCTGAAAGGACAGCATTAATTATTTTATGAAACATGAAAAAAGCTGGCGATAGAAGACACACATTCACCAGCAAATCAAAGTCCCAAACGAATGCACCAATAACACAGAAATCCTGGGATTACTTTTATGATTGTGCCCCCTAGATGGTCAGTTATGGGCCACTCCTTAACCCAGATCATCCCTCTTAGCCAGTGTACAGCCTGTATGCTCAGAGGCACTACACTTGCAGTTCACAGACATCATGAGTAACAGCCTCCAACCATACAGTTTGACCCGCTCTCACTCCAGTGGCTCCTTCTACAACAACGGGATATCCAAACCTGAACTCTTGAATAATCACTGACCAGAACCAGAAGATGGAAGCAGCACTGGCTTTATAGACAGCAGAGATGCATGAGAATAGGCCGTGACAACCATAATACTTCTGCCAAAAGATCCAAGGTAAGATTCAGGGATCAACTGTTAGAGCTGCACATGCTACACAGCTAATCCTTGCCAGCCTGCTCAGCCTCACACAGAGTAACTGTGCCTACTGCTACCATGGACACGAGAGACCATCTTATTCTAGGATGCTGCCCCCCAGAGCATGAGGAACTGAGCCCCCTTGGCTCGCTCTCCTCTTCCAGCAGCAAGCCCTGCTCTGTGGGACCCCAGCCCAGCCCCAGACCTGTGCCTCCCACTCAGATGGGAGCAGATGTCTCAGGGGGTTGGTGAGAGTTAAAACACAGAGGAGTGTCTGAGGGTGGGGTAAAAAGGGAGAGCTGAAGGTAGAACCTCATACATTGAGGTTAAGCCATCAGGAGAGGAGGGTAAGGTGGAGGCAAAGAGATCACTTTTTCCTCCCTAAATCTCCTCCAAGTTCTAAATTCGCTTCCCTTCTCCAGAGCCCCCAAACTATCCCAGATTCCTAGCCTTGTCCTACGACCAGGGCACGAAGCATAGGGGGGAAATCTCCACCCTTTCCCACTTTCATCAAGGAACTCCCATTAGTGTCCTCTCCAAATTCCCCTTCCCTGCTTTTAGTGTTGTAAAGTATGCTATGCACTTGAATTTTGCCTACACTTGAGCCAGTTTTGATATGACATCTCCATCTACTGTAAAAAACATCAATGTCACATGAGAGTGTTAGAAATTTTCATTGTGACAAACAGCAGAAGACGAAGACTGAGATAAAGCTGTCACTTCTGAAAACTTCCTCCTCACCACAGAGACAGAAGGGAGTTAAAAAACAAACACTTGTGTTTCTCTGGCAACTTTCTTTCAAGGAGCTCAGAACAATTTTTAGATGATAAAATGCAAAATATATCTTGGGAAAGGTGCAGAAGCTCCAAAAATTTGTGAAGCTTGATGATGATGGACAAAAATAAGAAATTCATTTAAATTTTGTACTATTTAATTAGAGATAGTTACATGATTTCTGATATCTGCTTTCACTTATTGCTTAATTGTTTAACGAGAAGCCCTTATTCAGATACTTTCATTATGGCTACATTAGCTTATAAATGTACAGATATCTAATTTAATGGGCAAACCCTTACAAATTTCCTTGGTGACACATAAGGAAAGCAAGGCACAAAAGAGAGGAATTCATGTAAGGTCACAGAGACCAGAGGCTGGAGTAAAAACAATACACAACAGTTCTAGTCCCTTGCTTTCAATACAAAGCAATAAAATCTGTAACATAATATATTTGTTTTAAACATAAGCTTTACAGCCTTCCTTGAGGTAACTTTCATATGGAAGACTATTCTGAAGTCCTCTTGGCCTCCATTTATGGAAGGTGGTCTTGCATTACAGCAAGGCCTTGTTACTGTAAGTCACCCCTCTGTGCAATGTGGTAGGCTCTCTTCAAGCCTCCTCTTCAGTCAGACTTCCAGGCCAAGCACACAGCTGTGGCACTGAGGGAGTAACAGACCCTGAATAAACACACAGCTCCTGTCACAGTGGCCCCTAATGCTAAATGCAAAGGGAATGAGCCAGTGGTTGCAGTCACAGGCAATACCACCACAGCACACTGACCTGCTGCTGGCGGGCCCCAATGCCCTCTGGGTAGAGGTGCCAGTGGGAGTGAAGGTATCCCCCTGCCATCCGAAGGTTCTTCATTGTGACCACAGACCCATATGCCAAGTCTGCACGAGAAGGAAGGAGGAAAAAAGGCATAAGGCAGCTCTCCTCTAAGTATCTCCCCCAGCTAGTCTACAGTGCTCCAGATAGACATACATTGTCCTGTTTGTTCTGATGAAGCTCGTTTCCTGTTTGACACGTTACTCCACGGGGCTCATTGCAAGCTTACCTCCCATCCCCAACCGCGATTCAGTGAAACTGTTACATACATTTGGCTTAAACACTTACAACTCTCCCACTGAGTTTTAACATAAACAGAAGCGCTAGTTCTTTTGTATGTAATTTCAATAATGGGAGGTTTGAGATGGCTTTCCCTAAGAATATATGATGAAATTAAAACATGATCAAGTTTGAAAAGCACGTGACTACTTTTGAACCCCTACGGCAATACAAGAGGGAAGGAAGGCAAGATGAGCTACCAGATAGCAGAGCTGATACCCTGGCTTAAAACACCTTCCTTCATAGCCTCCCAACACAAGTGAGAGAACTCTGTCTTGGAGAGTGGATCTGACGCTCTCCCAGTAGCAGCTCTGGAGCAGGGAACAGCCAGAGAAAAGATGAAGTGTCAGACAGTTAAACCAGATTAAAGGCTCAGTAGTCCCTAGCCAACCTGAGGATTAGGGAACAACCACAGAGCCATCTTTCCTGTAAGTTCACACGCACGCTGAAAAGAACACAGCCAAACCAGGGGCACAATGGGTCACAAAGAAGTTGACAGTTTCCATTAACACATGTTTTGAAAACAAATCCCACAGCTGAATGCCCTACAAACCTATGGTGAATAGCACAAATATATTTTTGTTTTCTCAAGCAACATAAGGCCAAAAAATAACAAGAAGCATGCACACAAAACTGTCATCCCTCAAAATGGCATCTTTCCCACTTGAAGGAATATGATGAAACAGCTAGTAACCATGCACTGGACACAGACTTTTTCTTTTCTGTCAGTACGTAAAACTGCATGGATCAGCATGGATCTAAGCACAACCATGAAGGCATAATCTGCACCGTCCTGCACTGAGTCACAGGAGATGATGTTTTATTTAACCCCCCACGTATACTGACAACACTCAGAGTGGTTCATTCTTTTGGACACTCACGCTCTGGAATGGAGACATTATGAAGATTGTTCCCGATCAGCTGGGACTGAAATGCTGAACTGAAGAAACCATCCCCAGGGCCACTACAAAAGATAGCAAAGAATGTGACAATTCAAAATCCAGATAAACAAGCACACAGATCTCTGTCATGCATTACCAAATTGTTTTTACAGAGGAACACCAACAAAAGCAGACAGGACATCAGAAGACGAATGAATGCAGTTCCCTTAGATGCACACACCTCTAATGTTGTGAATCATAGCAGAGAGACAGCCTCGCAGGAAATTGTCCAGAGCTGCAAGGACTTGAGGTCACAAAAGTGTATCTGCTGGCACTGCATAAAAGCACCATACTGATCTTTCAGTGTTCTTACAACAAATAAACTGACCAACTGTCAGGATACATATAACAAAGCCTCTCTCTGCAGCTTCTTTAGTCTTATTTCTGCTAAGAGGTTAATGGTAAGACCAGTTGACTTTAACTGAAAAATAACAGATTTAATTTTAATTTTTTTTTTTAATAGTGAAATGCATATTCACCTCATTTCTTAATGCTGGCATATGGAAAATATTACTTGGCCATTTTACTATCTGTTGTGCTCTCTGCATATAAAAATCATCCCTTGGTTGCAGGCACTCAGAAAAGAGCCTTCCCTTTGGGCACACTCAGCCTTACTTTTTTAATCCCAGCCAAAGCATTTCTCAGGAACACAATGACTTTTTTTTTTTTTATTATTATAAAGTGACAAAGAATGGAGTTGAGACATTTTCGGGTCCGGGAAAGAGAAGGGGGGAAAAAAAAGGAGCCAGAGTTTGGTTAGGTTACTTGTTTGGCATTTCAAAAAGTGTCAAATTAAAATTCAGTTTCACTGCCAGCTTGGCCAGAGCCTTTCTGTAAGAACAACGTAGGAGTCTGGGAAAGGAATTAAACAAAGACACAGCTTGTGGCTGTGCTTCTGACACTAAAAGTGGAGAAATACATAATCAATAGCCTTTAATTAAAAGCAAAGACAAGTGACTCTTCTTCTGCAGAAAACATTGTGAAATACCTTTTATTTAATACTGTAAAATGAACAGCAAACATAGCCATGTAGAGGGCAAGTGGGAGCACGATGAGGCAAAGTACACGAGCCAGTAAATGTTTCCCAAACATCACCTGTAACAAACACAGCTTGAATCAATCATTGCAGCTGCAGGAACAATTCCTCTCCTTACTTCACAGGACTCTGAGTAGAGGTCCTAAAGCTGGAGCTTGCCAGGCAAGCAAGCTCAGCAGGCTGCAGAATTACCCCAAAAAGGCCTAGACAGAAGTAAAAGCTGAGGTAGACATTGCTGTGTATCTCCCAAAGCTGGACATACGGTACCTTGAAATTTCAGGGTCTTGGGAAAAAAGACAAAAACAGGCAAGAGAAGGGTTTAACGTTCCAAAGCACTGAGCATCCCTAATTTTGGCAGAGGGGCTTGGGCAGGTCCCATTGAAAATACTTGGAAAACAAGGACCTTAACTTGTTTATCAATGGTACACATTTTGACACAAAATCACAAGAAAGAGATGCTTTCCAAAATAGTAACTGCCAAAGCTAAGAAAAAGGGAAAATGAAAACTTGTTCTCTGAGAAAGTCTCTCTATGCAAATATGAATGTAACCAGGACTTCCTGGGGACTTAGATATGCTTCACTCATAGAAATCACCTTGCTTAGCAAGGATGTTCTCACACTGCAACTTCTGTTGCTGCTTAGCCAGAAGCTACAGAAAAGTCATCAGCAAAACCTGTTTCAGCTGCCTCAACACAAAAGCAGAGTATTTTATTTTAATCACTTAAAAAGATGGTTTTTACACAGGTGCCCAAGCATCATTTATTCACATCCCAATAACACTGCTGGTAGTCGAGCAAATAACGTAAAATACAAGGTGGATAATAAATAGCTGTGGTAGAAAAAACAAGTAAAATAGCAAAAATTGTTTGCTAAATGTTCACACTAACTTCAAAGTGGATGAAAGCAGATTCCTTGCTATTCTCCACATTTTTTTACATGATAGCTATCACACAATCATTAAGCTATTCATTCTCCATCCCTTCATACCAGATACAACAAATTCAGAAGTAATGGAAAAGGAACTAAACACACTACAAAACTAAGAACTCACTGAAGTCAACAAAGAAAAGAGTTGTCAAGCTCATGTACTCCATCAGAACACTTAATAACCACTGGACACTTCCAAAAATGCTGACTGATGGTACATAACCACATTTATGCACTGGACAGGCACATGAACTAATTTCCAATTCCCTGCTTAAAATAGCCTCAATATTCTTCAATCTTCATGAAAATTTTCTTTTTTGACATTGCATTTTTCTTTTTTGACTTTGCACTTAAGTCTGTAGTTTTCTTTAACTATAGACTTCAATGCAAAGTCAAAAAAAAAAAGCACGTGAAAGACAGCACTGAGCAAACCATAAGAGTAGACCAAGGTAAGATGAGAATTCTAGAAATCAAATTAGTCCCAAAACCATTGCATGTAAATAATCATGAATAGCTTCCTAACAATGCAGAGACATTAAGATAAGCCTTTCAGGAGTTTAATCCTCACTTTTTTTTTTCCTCTCTCATCAAGCACTAAGGCTGACAAATAGTTATTCAGAAAGCATCTGCCTTTTGGAGTAGATTTCTTTATATATTCCAACACTCAGGGGTTTGCTGCCTTTGCTGCCAGCAACATAAATGAAATCACTGTGCAGCCGTCTGCTGGCAGAAATAATAGACATGATGGATTTGTTCCATTTCAAATGTAATTAAGTGACTTTGCTCAAGAACTGCTTCTCCAGAGTTGGAACATTGCATCTTTGCAGCCCATATTGATTCACATTAATCAAAGAAAAACAAATCACACAGCAGGAATAGAAAAAGTCCCTCAAAACCCTCACTGTTTATGAGAAAAACAAGACAAAAACACTAAGTGAAAAAAGTAGAATTTTCAAGCTTCAGAAGAGGCTGAGACAAGAGGAGAACTGAACACCTTTTAAAAGACATGACTGAAGAATTTGTTTTCCTGCTAGCTGCAAGACAGCAAGTGATACATCAAAGTATTTCTCCAAAAAAGCAGATTTCGCAGTCCACAAATGCAAAACGCAATATATTAGGACAGGGCGCTCAAGCTCACTAGCAAAATTTTTAAAGCTTTTAGGAACTAAATGTATGTGAAATCAAAGAGGGTATGGCTGCCTTCATCCTCTGGAGTGGCTCTGGATTCTGCAAGCTGCAGAGCATTTCTATGACTCCTGATGGGATAGCATGCTCCTGCTCTGCGGCCTATGCTCCCCTAACTCTCACAAAGCAGAGCCTGAGCTCACGCTGCTTATGCAAACCAAGCGCTGCAAGACATGCCTGTCTGCCAGGTAGCACGTACTCCTCAGAAAGTCATGTAACAGTGTTGGACAACATCTTGCTTTAGGCCATTGTAAAGCCATTCCCAATGAGCATTTTTAGCTTAGACTGAAAAATCATCCAACTGGAAAGGTAACAGTTTCTCTAAGAAAAAAGCAACGTTCCTTTTGCTGTGGTCTTATGACACTACATCCTGCTAATATAAGTTTGTTTGTCTTTTTTCAAAAGTCTGTCAGTAGTTTTTTCATAACCTTAATCTTTATTATCATCATCCACATCAGAAGCCCCCTTCTGCTGCACACAGAATATCACTGTCTGAGTAGTTATACAGTTGTCAAAGACCAGGAGAACTACAAAGTGAACAAAACAAAGAAACACTTGAAGTAAAGAAAAGTCTTTGAAACTCACCAGTGACAGACTAAGGTTCCCCAGCAAGTCCCATAGGTCATAGATTGTGTTCAGGCCTACCAAGAGGACTACAAAAAGGCCAACAAACTTTACCCCCATTGCTCCAGCAAGGTTCACACCAGTCAGACTCAGCCAGAACCACCAGGAGGCAGAAAATGGCCTGCAGGACCAGTGCAGAAAGTCAGTAAATAAAATGATGGCTACAGGAACGGGCATCTGCGATCATGAAAATAAACAGCAAATAAGTTACCCTGCAAAATTACATTCCATCTTCTCAAGAAGAATAGAAAAAGCAGGTTTTCATTATTTTTAGAATCATGCAAGGATACTGTCTTCAGATACAGGCTTGTGAAACCTTTATTCAGAAGGGTCCAACACTTCAGCCAGGACATTCCTAAATCTCCCTTTTGAGGATGGAAACATAGACAACAGGTATAAGCTAAAATGCTAGTGTGAAGAAAGTGTGACCACATGGAAGTTACGAGAAAAGAAACAAGACTTTTGCTCCATAAAACACAAACTTACTTCTGACAAAAAGCTAGGGACACAGGGAAGAACAGGAGAAAAAGAGCAGTCACCATTATTAAAGCAGGAAACCCATGGTGGAAAACATCTATCCAAAGCACATACAAAAGCTGTAGCAAAAAGCAAAAGTATTATAAACTGAAATGAAACTGAACCATTGAGAAGAGATGATAAAGGATGACAGCAGAATTTAAAACCTTTTTCCTACCAACTCCTAATGCCTTGATGCTTGCATTTTGGTCAGACAAAATCCCCATGACCTGCTAAGTCACACAATAGCTAGAGCTGGCTTTCAATTTGCATGATATTAACTACTTTGACAACAGGATTAGCTCTAACATGTGAAAAATAAGTTCATGTCAGGGCCCACAGAGCTGATCAAGCGCTGCCCTGTAACTTAGTGCTTGCACTCCCTGGGGTATGTTTTGTAGATGAGGATGGCCTTGGGTGGCCCTACATGACACTACAGGCTGCATTTTAGCCATATGTACTCTAATCACACTAAGATTGAAATGATCAGTTCTTGTAATGCTTCATGAAATAAAAATTGCTCACATTTATAAGAAAGCATTCTGAGGTTTTGTTTCTTTGAATTCTGGATGCATTGTGGGGAAACTACTCTCTGCAGCCCAGCCACAAAGAAGCCTTTTGGTATATACCAATACCTAGAGATCACCATTCCCCTCTGGATGGGTCCATGGCAAATATCCTCAGCAACTTGACTTCTTTGTTCAGAAACATCCTGGCTCTATTTCCCTCAAAGCTTTTGTAACAATTTCTCTAAACCAAACAAATTATACTATTTACCTCAGACAGCAGGATTTTCATAAGTTTTGATAGGATTACAGTCACAGATAAACTGTGTTTCTCTTGCCTGGAAACGAAGTAACTGGTTCAAGATAACAATATTTTAGCCATGAAGTACCAAAACCTCGAATAAACTACAACCATCCTTCTCTGACCTAAAACATCTTTTATTAGCTTTCTTTCCTGTCAAGTTTTAAAACACTTTAACCTTCATGTTCAAGATTTGCAGTTCCATAAACTGCATACACTATTTCTGCTGAAATTTCCCTTCATGCTAAAATAATCTGGTTAAATCTCTCTCTTGGTGTACCCAAGTCACAATACTTTCTTCCTAGTTACAAAAAAACTTACGCTAAGAATTTCTCTCCTCTACCAACAGCCATTTTCACCGCCGAATTTCCTGAAATAATCTCATTTCAGCCATTCAACCAGACTACCAATGGTAGACATGTTCTAGTCCTTTATCTGTGTGAAAGTTGAATACCTTTTAGTTTAACAAAACTATCATCTTTATCTTACCTATCTGCACAGCTGTTACATTTCACCATACTCAGAACAGCTGCCATGAGGAAGAACATCAGAATGGGATCCAGCAGAATATATTGGGACAAAGTAATACAGCCTGTATCTGCAGAGAGACACACAACAATGTTAAAAGGGCTTGCAGTTCCAAAGCGAATCTAAGATTGTGGGAAATCAGTTCCCTGAGCATAGTCAAGACAAGGGGAAGGAAAGAAATTCTAGAAACAGAAGGAGATCAGAAAATTGCTACTTTTACTTGCGGAAAAAAATAGAAAAAAAACCAACAAAACAAAAAAAACCCAGGCAGTACAGTAGTATCTGTGAAACACCATTTGGAAAGAGCTGATAACATATTCAAATGGAGAGCATTACAGACAGCAACCATCTACCAAGGGCACCAGCACTGTGCCAGAGCATGCTAAAGGAGAAGTCATCTTTCAAATGATACCTATAAGAAATGAATATGACTTGGGTCTTTTAAGTCTCCATGCCTCAATATCTGTGTGCCCCCACAAAACCCCAATTTGGATAACTGTCTGCAGTGTTAATTTCTCCACTTGGCTCAATTCAACAAGGAACTTTATTCATTTCTTACTGTGAACTCTTCCATAAAATGTAGAGACTGTTAAATGTCTCTATAATTCATATAATTCATATGGGAGATATCACTCACGCTCAAAATCATTCCTGATCATACATTTTTAAAAAAATTCTTAAAATTGAGGTGACATGTAGTCCAATGCTGTGGTTATGCAAATAACAGAAGTACCTATGAACTAAACAACACTGTAATATCCTCAAGAGGACCCCCAGTTAAAAAGCCTCATACACGTATATATAAAGTGAAATTTCTTTGCTTCTGAGAATGTCTCTCATTAACCCAAACATCCGCTGGTTAGGTAACACATGATAATCAAGAAATTAATTTATCTAAACAGTCAGGTTACTCAATTTTGCTGTAGCAGAAACACCTACCAAAAATAAGGATGAAAGCTGTGAGTAAGGCTGCTGGCAGTGACTTTGACAGTTCCAACACTGTGAGGTAGGCAAAGGGAACGAGGCAGGAGCCAAGGAATGCACAAAACTGCAGGAAAAGAAGATAATGGGAGAAGTTATAACCCTCCGTAAGGTGAACAAGTGCTCACACCCTTTCCTTTCCTTTCCTTCATCTTCCACAACTACCAACAACAGGAGGTGTCGCAGTTGCTGAACTGAGTCACTAACTGAACAAAGACACTGTTCAGAGGACAGACACTCTGTTCGTAGAGGTGTCAGTAACAAGTAAGTCACCCTCCTGCTAGACTGAATTAGATATCCATAAAAAGATTGGTCAAATAGATGTACTACACATCCACTGTACTCCACTTATTTTAACAAGATACTAGAATATGAAATCTAAGAACAAAATACACCTGCACCTTACGTCTTTAGCAGACCAGATTCACCTCCCCTACAAAAATGAGACCAAAGACAGTTGAAGGAGAATGAACAGAAATCAAAACAAAAGCAAGCAATATCGCAGTAAAATTTATTCTCTTCAGTGTCTGGTGCTAGCACTTCTCCCCTCTTTGGCTCAGGGAAATCTAGAAGCATGAACTGCTGGAACTAAACCAAGATTTACTCTTCTTTCTAGGTACTAAAAACTGGCCACTGTTTCTTCTTTTGGTTTGTCTTATCTGCTGTCAGTAATATGGCTCTTGGTCTTCCTAGATAGCAATACAGCCAGGGTTTCAGAGGGATACAAGTCTAAATTCTGCTCCCCTTCCAGAGGCTCCATCAGCTTACTTGGCTCCCTGGTGGTGGCAAACTGCAGGTGACAGTGGATAATCCTGGCTTTTTGACATCCTTGACTCCCATTGTGCCAGCCAGGCACAATGGAGTGAGAGAACCCCAAGTTCAGCAATGTTTCCTTGGCAGAACAGGCAAGAGATCTGTTCCACACAAGAGTGTAGTCTCACTAACTAGCAGCAAGAGTTGGCCACAATAATCACCTTAATTTCTTACCTGGCCTCTCACAGGCATTAAGACACTCACAGAAGAACCACTGACACTTTTCTAAGGAGCTTAAAGACACAAGGCTAAACAGACTTCTGATCTGATCCAGGAGAGTTCTTCTTATCACATAACCCTCTGTATTGAAGGGCACAGGAAAGCTAACCAGCTCAACACTAGCCTGCAGAGCCTTACCCCTCTCATTCCCATGTAGTTGTGCTGCTCATATCGGTCCCCCGGCTTTTGGAAAGGAAACGTACCATCATATCCACTAAGGTAGCCAGCAAGTCCAATCAGCATCTGAAGAGAAAAGGTGAAAAAAAAAATTGTCAGAGAAATCGCACTGGAGGTAATATTTTTATAGAAGCCAAGACTGATCCAGAAGACAACTACTTAATTCAGATATATCATCCAAACAAGAGTTTATGTATAGATACTGTGTGCAAAAACATTGCTCTTTGTCTAAAAGCAAAATCAGGACAATTTTGGCTATGGACTATGACTGCAAGTTGAAGAGAAATACCAGGTGTGGGATTGAGCAGGGAGAATTCTGTCTCTGTAGAATCTCCCATAGCTCCCTATCTCTTTAGGTTCAGAAGACTCAGTCTGAAAGGAAAGATAACCTTGTTGAGGCAGTAGGAGTGCACCTTCATCAGCACTACACACTGTTGCTAAAACAAGTCAAAATAGAAAAACAGTGCTCTCAGGGTCCTTTGTAGTAGGCATCTCACTTGCACACAGGTTATCACGAGTTGTTTGTTTCCTTTCAAATGCAGGCTGCTATGCCATAACCCCTCCAATCCATAAGCACCACCCTGATTTTCTAAATTTCAAGCCTTTCAAATACCCAACATGCAATACTGTAGTTTCCCCATATTTGAAGTATTTTTGTAAAGACAAAAAGTTGCAAGTTGAGGTTGTGGATACAGAATGCAAACTACCATGATGTCCAACAACAGGAAAGATAAATGGAGTTTATCACAACCTTTGTCCAGAAGGCAGGAGTAGACTTTTATTGGCCCACTCCTGTGATTTCTAAAACATGTAACAGAAAAGCAGTTTACCTTCCCCAAAGGAGGGTGGACATCAAAGAAGAAAGTCCGATTAATGTAGTAACTTCCCATCTTCCCAAAATGAGTTTCATCCCAACTGGAAAAAACAAAAAAACAAAAAAACAACAAAACACAAAAACCCCAAAACTTAACAATAGCCAGTACTCTATAATGATGAAGATAGTAAAAAAAAAAAAAAAAATCCAGGAAAGTCTTTTTACTCATGCTTTTCATCATGTAGAGAGTTACTGCCAGCCATTCAATATGAGACGATGCATTACATTTACTGGGAAATAATGGAGAGCACATCAGTCATTCTAGGATGGGCCCTTTTTTAAACAGTTTGATATCAGCACTCCAAAATCTGTAGTCTGCTCTTCTGATTCCAGACTGCCCTCAGAGATGCTAAGAAGTCAGTCTGCCGCCCGCAGGCCCACAACACCGCCTCCCCAGGACCCTCTGCAGCACGTCCCGAGAGCCGCGCCGAGGAGCGGGCTGGCCAGAGAGCGCAGCGCTTCCCTGGGGCCCTCCCTGCCAGGGTCCCGTCCCTCCATCTGTCTGGGATGAACACGGGCCCTCCCACGCCGGGCAAGGCCGGGGCGGAGCAGGGGGCGCAGGCTGGGCGCAACTCGCCGGCATCTCCCGGAGGAGGCGGACACGGACACGGACACGGACACGGACACGGACACGCACCCCCCGCACCCCGGGGCTCGGGCAGTGCCCGAACGGAGCGGGGCACGCCCCGCCCGGCCCGTACCAGACGTGCGGCGGCTCCGGCAGGCGGTGGAAGCGGGAGGCGAAGCTGAGGAGGGTGACGAGGGCCAGCGCGGCCGGGCGGGCGGCGGCGGGCGGAGCAGCGAGGCGGCCCGGCCCGCCCGGCCCCCGGCGGGGCTCCCGCTGGCGCGGCGGCATCCACGGGGATCCGCCGCGCGCGGCTCCGCGCCGGGAGCGCGGCATCCTGGGCACGGAGAGCGGGGCGGGGCATCCGCGGGGCTCGCCGGGGGATGTAGTCCCGGTAATGCAGTCCCAGGCTGCCGCCGAGCCCTGAGTTGAGGCTGGGACGGGAATGAGCGCCGCCGCCGCCAAGGTACGCGGTGCTGGCTCCGCGCTCTCCCTGCGGAGCGGAGCGTCCCCGCCGGGCGGGAAGGGAGGGGGGGCGATGGCGGCGCCAGAGCCGGAGGGAGCGGGTCTTAGGGCTCGGTTCGCTGACAGGGATCACGGCCGCAATCGGCTTCTGGTGCCCTGGCTCCCCGGAAAGGCCGGGATGGCGATTCCCGACAGGACTGCTGCCCCGATGGCTCTGTCTCAGTGGAGAGCGAGGAATTTGCCCCCACCCTAAATTAATGCTTCACAAAGCAGCATCGGTGTTCACTTATCGTAGTTTATCCTCGTGCGCTGTTAACACCAAGGCCTGCCGCAGAGATACTGAGAGTTTAGGAGCAAAGCTGTTGTTTCTGCTCGTACCTTTACATTTGAACCCAGCAGAATATAAGCAGTGCCTTTCAGACACCGAGGTTTCCCTTACACCAGCCCCCTGGGAGCAGTGTATGTGTGCAGCCTGCTTGGTGTCATGTGTCTTAGGAAAGAGGTGAAAGACTTTGCCTTCCCAAGTGCCTCCCTAATATAGCCTAGAAAGAGGTGGTATCCAGAGCAGACCACACTGAAGTAGACAGGCGTGGAAACCTGAGAGCTCGACACAGAGTTTGGGGTGTTTCTTCCAACTTCCACAATAGTGAAATGCATTTCCCGAACTTTTACTCTCAACTGGTATTTAAGCCCGAACTTTCCTCACTGATGCTGGAAATGAAAACAGAACCTAAACAGAAATCTCAGTAGACATCAAGCAAATGCTGTTCTCCTTCTATCATCCCAGTTCCAACCAGTCTAATGTGCAGCTTATGGAGATTGTACCCCATAGGGTTGTAAATGCAGGCACTTTTTTTGCGTTACCTCCCTGGGCCGTGCTCTGCTCTTCCTCTGAGGAAGATACAGTGTCACTGTGGGACCTGTCCACTGAGGACAAAACTCTCCTGCTGTCTCTAATCTATACTTAGATGATCATTTTTGCCTGTGATCTGCCCTGCTGCTGGGAGCAAAGCAGCATGAACTCAGGAGACCAGTCCAGGCCCCAGCCTCTGGACACACAGTTATTAGCTGAAGGACAGACTGTTTTCCATGTTCTCTTTGGTGAAATCCCCCAGGGACCTTGAAATTAAAGAGCAAGGCAATTAGGTTAGTACAGTTTATTCCAAATGATAGCACAGGCGGCAAAAATAAAAAAGAACTGTAGAGAGGATCAGGAGAAATGTCTCCATCAGCTGAGAGGCTAGAGCCCAAAACGGATGTGGTGAAGGACATAAATTTCTGAGCCAAAAAATCACTTGCAAGGTCCTCAGGAAAAACAACTAAAAATAGTATGTCATGAATACTGTATGTTTCTCTTCTGAAGCCATAGTTTCTGTTTCTATCCCTGCAACCCAGCAGGCTAGACATTTAGGGGGGGTGGGGAAAAAAAGCATAGCTGAGATTTCTAATACCCTTATCCCAGAAGCAGAGAATTTAAGAAAATCAGGAAATACTCTGTCCACTAAAATGTTGCAAATACTGCCATCGCTTCCCTCCTCACTTATAAACCATTTTCCAGTAAATTTGGCTAGAGTAATTTAATCAAAGGCGTACCTCATTTAAAGTTATTTGAACCAATCTAAACTGCAAGAGAAGCATCAGGGTAATAAAGAGGACTGGAGAACAGAGATCTTCAGTGTCTCTGGTTTTTTTGTTGACAGACTGTCATTGGGCAAATCCCTGCTTTCTTCTACCTTACTGCCAGTCTCTGGAATAATTTCTATGCATTCTGGGAGGGTAGAGATGCAGAGAGATCCCTGGCATGCCATGGGATCTATGTAAAAGGAAGGAGAGACATGATTACAGGTTTATTCAGAGACGTAAATAAGTACCAGTTTCCTGTGTGGAAGGAAAAGACCGTTACACAAAAAAAGCAATCTTTGTATTTCGTACAAGTTGGTCTGGGAGCAGAATAGCAGCTTCTTCTAGGCCTGCAATGTGGAAAACACTCTGCACTAGCCGACAATGACAGGAGGAAGGCTACAGGAGCATCCTAAGGGACCTCCCCGCAAAGGCAGCCCCTGTTCCCAGAGCTTGCAGTCATTCCCTGGTGAAATGGAAATTCTGCGTGTGGCTTTTCTTTTCTTTTTTTGTTCCCCAGGGCTCTATTTCTGCATTGGCAGCTGCTGACAGCCTGAGAGGCTCTCTAAATATTTTATTTATGTCTGGATGAAATTCTAGGGAAATAAACATAGTTCCTAAATGTGCTTCCAAGCTTAAATCTGGTTAATAGTTCTGGTATCAGGGCTGGGAGGAGGTGAGCGCAGTGACTCAGGATGAAATCTGACTGGCTGTTTTTTGTGCCCTGGGCACAGACTTGGGGGCATAGTCCTTTCCTCATTGATTTTAGGAGAAAAGCCTTCCCCCATCCCAGCTGAGGCAAAAGGGAAAACAAAGGGGTTTTTTCTTATTTCCTGGAGTAGACTGCACACACTGACGATGGCATCTGAAAAGGTGAGAGCTTGAACAGGGTGGAAGCGTCTGGGAAAGGTGCCTTGGTGCTATAGTTCAGGTAGAGATGAATTGTCTATCCTCATGGCTTTCATCTCAAACAGCAGAAGCTCTTCTTGTTTGGAAAGAGGCCATGCCTTTCCCCATGAGGCTGAAAAAGCTGTTTCATGCCATGCAGGTGGTTGGCACAATCAGTGCAGAACTGGTTTCAGAAATCTAAGATGGTATAGAAGTTACCTACATCAGATAGGGACATCAAAGAGGGAAATTTCATAGGCAATAATTTTAAGGTCACCAGTGCATTGCTGGAAACATCAGGTGCAACTACATTGTTAGAGGACTATCATGAAAGACAGTGATGCCACATGTATGCCCAAATCAGGAACAGCCACTTTCAGAAAGGAGTCCTCTCTTCCCCAAACATTGCTCTTCCCTGTCTTACAGTTCCTGAAATGCCTTCTTTTCATACATTCTTCTCCTTACAATATTTTGGTGTAACCATTTTATCTGTCTTTCTCTTCTCAGCCGATACTTTATAGTTATTTCAGAAGTTCCTGCTCTTGGAGAGTGCGAATTGGTAAGATCCAGTGTTGAGATCTCTTTTTTTTTTTTTTTTTTTTCCTCTCAATGTTATTGCAGTATCCTCCCCTTCACTAACTCAATTAATCAATCACTTATTAAGAGAGGTCAGCAAACATGAACCTGGAACAGTGAGGCATTTTCCGAGGGGGAGGGAAGGGAACACCACAGCTTACCTGGAGCAAGTGGGATGGAAGGGAACAGATAAGAGGGCTTCATGATACTGCCTCAGACTCTGGTATGCCCAGGTCTTGAGAGCTAAGCAGGGCTGGGAACAGCCCCTACTTATTCTGAGACAGCAAGGTTTTGCAGGTGAGCACATGGTCCCTTGCCCTCTGTAAGCCAAGTCAGGAAGGGCTGTGCTACAAAGAGTGGCAAAACTTGCTTTGAAAAATGCAGTGGTTTTGCCAGGACTGATCTTTAGTGCTTTGATCCTTCACTTGCAAGAGCACTGTCTTCTCAGTGGACTCACACCACCCTCCTTGAGGGAAATGGTCTTTTTTTAAATGAAGATTGTAACATTTCCCTGAATCTGTTACCAGTGAAACTAGTCTCACTGTACCTGTCTGAAGCTGTGTACTCTGCTCTCCCTAGCACTGGCTCTGAAAGGGATTTCCTATGACCTGGTACCAGTGAACCTCGTAAAGGATGGAGGACAGCAGGTAAGGATAGAGATACCATTGCTGTCTCCAAGGATACTGAACTTGGGGATCCTGAGGAGGTTTGGGATTAGCATTAGAAAGCTCACAGGCAAAGTTACTGAATTCCTCACTGCTTCCCTGTAATTAATAGTTGATTTCAGCCAGTATTCCCTGGCATGCAAGTCAGAGGGAGAAGACTGTAGGAAACTAGAGGCTTTTTCCTCTCTTTTTCCTCTCTTAAACATCCATGACTGAATTCAGAAGGCTGAAGATCTTTTGCTCTTGCTTACCATGATATGACTGAACATATCTGGTGCACAGACTTCAGAGAATCTGCACTGCACTTTAAACAGACTCACCTCATTCAATTAGCTCCAGGGTACATGCGTGTGTAAGGGTGCATGTGTCCAAAAGATGTTAAATCATATTGCAGGGGGCTGCAAAGGGCCTGCAAAAGGAAGGGCGGGGTTGCCAGAAGAGCTCTTCACTGAGAACTTACTCGGGGGTCCACAGGAGGGAGTTGTGCCCTAGTAATACCAGCAGCTCAGTGTACCAGTATGGGCTAAGGTGGAGTTGGAGAACTAGAACAGTAATGCCGACACTGATGCAGGACCACCCATCCTGGGCATTGCAGTGATGGCTTATCAAGTGATAAGGCAGTTTGGCCCTGGATGTGGTGATTCCTGAGCCCCAGTGAGAGCTTGCTATAGGCTAATAGTACAGCATAACTTACTGACAATATTAATATTGCAGTAGAGAGAAAGAACAGGTAAAAAAAAAGTTTAGTAACTGAGTTCTAGGGGAAGAAAAAGGGATTTCTTATTGCTGTAAAGTAAGCTCAGGTTTGTTTCCACAGTTTTCTGCTGAATTCAAGGCACTGAATCCAATGCAGCAAGTCCCAGCCTTGAAAATTGATGGCATCACCCTTTCTCAGTCGGTGAGTTACCCATCCCTCTTAACCATTCACTCCTGCCTGCTGCCCCATGTGGAGGGGATGACTTTGCTTTAACTTCTCCCCCAAAGCTCTCATCTGTGCACTGGAAAAGAGATGGCATTTATGAT